AACATTTTGCAATGATCAACTGGGATTGACTTAGCTCTTCTTAGCAATACAACGATCTAACAGGATTCCAAAAGACTCATGATAAAAAATGCTATCCACATCCAGAGAAAGAAATGATGGAATGCAGATCAAAGCATATTATTTTCACTTTTTTGTTTTTTTTTCTCCTGTGTTTTTTTCCCTCTTGTTCTGTTTTGTCTTTCACAACATGACTGATGTGGAAATATGTCTTACATGATTGCACATGTATAACCCATATCAGATTGCTTGCAGTCTTGGGGAGGGGGGGAGAGGGAGAAAAAATTTGGAACTCAAAAATCTTTCCAAAATATGAATGTTGAAAATTGTCTTTACATATAATTGGAAAAAATAAAATGCTATTAAATTTTAAAGAAAAAGAAGAAATTTCCAGCTTTTTGCAAATCTCAGCCCAAGTACAACCTCTGAAAAAAAAGGTCTATCCTGCTCCTCCACAATTACAAATCCTCTTCCCATCCCATAATTTTGTATTTATATTGGACATATTTTGCACTTATTTACCTGCATCCACATTGATTTCCCTCAGAAAAACATAAGCTTTTTGAGGATAGAAACTTTGATTTTTGTTGTTATAGTCCCCATAATTCAGTGTTGTGCCTAGACCTTTTAAAATTTCTTTTGAGTGAACCTGTGATTTCATTTCTTTAGAGAATTGCTGATGACAAAACTCCCTCTATCAATGCAGATGGGGTCCTGCTCTGAAATTAACAGTCTTAGACTAAGACTTTCTTGAGACACTGAAAAGTTAAGTGACTTACCCAGGGTCACACAACCAATATGTGTCTGAGGCAAGATTTTGTGACTTGGAGCTCTTTATCCACTATGCATGTAATACTACCTGCTGCATATGGTTCTGCCTGGAATGCAGCAAATGTTTAATAAATGCTGGTTGAATTAAATTGATTAATCTTTTGAACTAGGTTTTTGGTTCACTGAGGGTAGAAGCCATGTCCTGTACTTTTAAAAAAATTCTTCCAAGAAGCTCAAGACAGTGCTTTGCACCTAGTGATAGCTCTATGAGCATCTGACGCTTTAAAAAAAAACACAACACTTTATTTAAAGTTTTGAGTTCCAAATTCTATCCCTCCTTCATCTCCCCTCTCCCCTTTCCCTGAGATGGTAAGCAATCAGATATAGGTTACACACATGCATTTATGCAAAATATTTCCGTATTAGTCATTTTGTACAAGAAGACTCAAATAAAAGGAAAAAAGAAAGAAAGTGAAAAATAGCATGCTTCAGTCTGTATTCAAACAATATCAGTTCTTTCTCTGGAGGAGGATAGTATGCTTCATCATTAGTTCTTTGGGATTGTCTTGGATCATCTTATTGCTGAGAATAGCTAAGTCATCCACAATTCTTCATCGAACAACATTGCTGTTACTGTGTACAATGTTCTCCTGGTTCTGGTTACTTCACTATACATCATGATGTTCATGTAAGTCTTTCCAGGTTTTTCTGAAATCATCCTGCTTGTCATTTTTCTATAGCACAATAATATTCCATTATATCCATATACCACAGCTTGTTTAGCCCTTCTCCAATTGATGGGCATCCTTTCGATTTCCAATTCTTAGCCACCATATAAAGAGCTATTATAAATATTTTGTGTACAAATAGGTCCTTTTCCTTTTTTTTTTTTTAATGTCTTTAGGATATAGACCTAGCAGTGGTATTACTGGATCAAAAGGTATGCACCATCTGATGCTTTTTTGAAGATTATGTAAGCAAGGTTATTCTAATTATTTATCCTTAGTTAGACAACCAGTGTTTATACAAAGATGCCAGACCAGATTCTAATGCTTCCTTAACTACATAGGTATCTTAGCTATAGAATAAATGAGAATCTAGTTTCTGTAGACTGACTCTTCCTAAGATAATGGAGATAAGATTCTAGCCCAGGGCATTGTTTATTTGTAAAACAATTAGAATGAAATGATAATCATTTCCACTTTTAAATAGCTCCAGGAGATATCAGTCTATTACTGAGAAAGGCTCTACTCTGGGGACACTGAATTCTGCCTACAGCTCTGCAGAAACAATTACTGAGATCCATAAAGCCAGCCTCTTGAAAAAGAAAACTGATCTGGGTTTTCAACCTTCCCCAAAACATAAATATAAATCATTTGTACTCCATAATGAACCAATACACTGAGATGACAGACAATGGAAGAATACCATGAAACAAACAGGCAGGGTAATAGCTGAGGAAAGAAAGAAGGGCAGAAGGGAGGAAAAGAAGAAGGGAGAAGGTAACATAAGTAAGGTTAATAAACAATGGAGATGATGGGAATGAGATTCATCACCTGGAACTTGGAGCTAAGGCTCTACTAACATTTTAGTTAGTGAACTGTAGTTCGATTTCCACTTTTTTTTACTAGGCAGCTAGGTGGTATAATGGATAATTGCTAGATTTGAGAGTTAGGAAGACGCAAGTTCAAATAGCTGTGACTCTGGGTAAGTCTCTTAACTTCTCTCAGTTTTGTCATCGTAAAATGGGGATAATTATACTTCCTAGGGTTATGGAAATAAAACGAGATTGTATATATAAAACATTTTGCAAACCTTAAAGCACTGTATAAAGGGGTACATCTTATTATGTAGAAGAACAGTCTACAAATCTCTAAACATGTGTATGGCTAATGAAATGGACATAGTAAACTCAGAGAGCCTGATTGACAAAGTCAATTTTACTGCATACAGCTTTCTGTATCTTTGAAAAACTGCTATAACAACAATATTAGCTAACATGCATGTACTGTTGGAATACTATTGTGCAATAAGGAATGATGAGCAGGTAGACTTCAGAAAAACCTGGAAAGACTTATAAGAACTGATGCTGAGTGAAATGAGCAGAACCAGGAGAACATTGTATGCAGTAACAGCCACATTGTGAGATGACGGACTTTGATAGACTTAGCTCTTCTCAGCAATACAAGAATCTAAGACAACTCCAAAAGACTCACAATGGAAAATGCTGTCCATATCCAGAGAAAAAACTATGGAGTCTGAATGCAGATAGAAGCATACTATTTGCTTTTGTTGTTTTGTTTTATGCCTTCGTTCTCATGGTTCCTCCCATTAGTTCTAATTCTTCTTTACATCATGACTAATGTGAAAATATGCTTAATATGAATGTGTAAGTAGAACTTATATCAGATTGTATGCTGTCTTGGGGAGGGAGAATGAGAGGAAGGTGGAGAAAATTTAAAACTCAAAATCTTATGGAAGTGAATGCTGAAAACTAAAAATAAATAAGTTAATTAAAAAAAAATCGTGCATATACTATGTACCAGGCACTGTGCTAAGTGCTTTACAATTATCTCCTTGGTCCTCACAACAACCTTGCAAGGTAAGTACTATTATTATCCCCATTTTGGAGATGAGGAAACTGAAGCAAACAGGGATTAAGTGACTTACCTAGAGTGACGAAGCTAGTGTCTGAGGCTGAATTTGAATTCAGGCCTTCCTGACTCCAGGCTTGGCACTCTAGCCACTCTCCACCTGGCCGCCCCATATTAGCCAAAAGCACAGAATGTCAAAATTAGAAGGGAATTTTGTCAGGTAAAATGCATTAGATTTGGACTCAGAGAGCCTGGGTTTAAATTCCAGATCTCCTTACTACATTGTGGGTCCTTATTTTCCTCGTACATAAAACAAAAAAGCCAGACTCAATCTCTAAGGTTCTTTCCAGTTCTAAATCTATGATCCTATAATTCAGCTCAACCTCTTATTTTGCAGATCAGAAAACTAAGGCCCAGGAAGAGTGTCTTTCCCCAGCTCACACATCTAGGCCTAGAGTTTACAGTACTGATGATGTAGCATTTTGCTACATGCCAGTGCAACGTGAAATTCTGAAGAACGGGAATAACAGAGGGCCTTTCTTTCATTCATTCACTAGGTGTACCATAAGGTAAGGCAAAAAGTATTTTACTGGGCTTTTAGAACCTAGGTTCAAATCCTGGCTTGGCTATTATCTATGTGACCTTGGGTAAGCCATCTAATACTCAGTTTCCTCACTTGATAAATGAGTTGGCCTGGATGGCCTTTAAGGAAGTTCTCTTCTAACTCTCAATGATATCTAGAAAACAGTTATTGATCCTTTACTGTGCGTGTGTAAAAGCCAGGTGTTAATCATCTTTAAACCTGTTTTCAAAAACTGCCAAAATGACACTAATTATGAACAATAATCCTTCCCTTACTTGAAAATGAGTGTGGAGCAGTTACAGAGAAAGCTTACAACCAGAAATGCTCTCTTCTCTGCCGTTTAGAAAAGAACAAAGATTGCCCTGTTCCAGGATTAAACTATGTTCAAAATGAAAATTCTCTCTTGTTCAGCGTCCCCTTGACTGAGACTTCTCGGAAGGATGCTGGAATTTGTGAGTTTTCTCTAGTTAGAGATAACCAAGCTAGACAACACTCTCAATATAGAAATAAGAAATACAAAGAAGATGAGCTCAAACAAATCACATTTGTTCAATGAATTTAAACAAACAGAGCAACAAGATATTAGACAGTCTAAACCTTCAACCAACAGAATGAAGGTAGGGAACTTTCTTCCTTTAACTTTTTGATGTTATATCTCCTGCTCTCTGACATGTGCTTGTTAAAATGAGCAAGGACAAAGCCTAAACTTGAATTCATTGTGATCCATTCCATGGGAAAACCAGTAGAAGTAATATATACTCTGATGAAGTACAGACTGCTAAGTTTTAAAGGCTTTAGAATCAATAATACCTACTAATTCACAGGCAACATAAATAAAACCCTGAAAAACGGAACTCAAGATTACCCCAATTAGAATCCTGAAACTTAATAAGCTTTTAAAAATACAAAACAAAACCTGTTAACAGCAATCTAATTTAGTCCTTTGCATGATTAGTTCAAATTGGTGATTCACATCACAAAACCTCTCTAAATGTAAAAGGATTGATAAGGGCAGAGAAATGAGGAAGCATACACCAGTATAAAAAGATCGTTTTAATAAAGCATGGAAAGCAGCTGATTTCACAGATCATTAGAAATCCCCATTTAAAAAAAATGAAATCATCACAGAGTGGGTACAGGTTCTCACACTGCAGTTATCTATTTGTAGCCTGGAGTGTTTGGGGTCATTAACAAGAACATTATGTTACTGTGAAACCAAATAAAGATGATACATAACAATTCCTGCTGGATAGTAGAAGCACCACATTTTGAAACTATATTTTTGTCATAATATTTTACCCTACTTGTCAATGTGCCCAAGTCCTCCACGGTGCCCTAATTACCTTTAGAGAGGGAAAATGTCACCTTAATTAATAACCAACTTGAATTATTTACTTTTCCAGCAACACAACCTTAAAAAAAAAAACCAAACCACAAACGAAAATAATATGAAGTGTTCTATTCTCTTCTGGCAAAAAAAAAAGGCTTGTTTGTTTGTTTGTTTTTTGGCACCTATATATGGAGAAGGAGGAAGAAATACCTGCTACCTCAGTATTCCCTTCTCCAGCAAGCAGAACTGGTGAGAATACTGTATGTGTTATACAGGTTGCAAGACCTGTTATACAAGAGAAATAGGAGTGAACAGACTCTGAAGTATTTGTTTCTTGGCATAAGTACTGTAGAACAACGGGAAAATAGCTTGGTAACCCAATGTTCTATCTGAGAAACCAGCCTGCACACCTACATCGTGGTCCTTCTATCATGCACAGGCAGGAGGAGACTCCAGGCATCCAAAGGCATTATCCACCATGTGAGGTACACACATTCCCTATGAATTGTACAAGTCATCACATAGCAAATGTTAAAACGATTCACTAAGACTTATATAAAACTTTTTTTGTTTCAAACACAAACTTTGTGCACTTTATTTAAAAACAAAAAAAAACTGGCTTTTCAGATTTGTGATGTACCCTTTCTTCTCTACTTCCTTTGTACAACATTGGGAATAGCTACTAAAATTAATTTTAAAAAGTAAACATGCATTTGGTTGAACCTTTTTGTGAAACTTTTTTGCTTCCCTAAACACAGGCCATCTGACATGACATATTTCCAATCATACAAATATCAATGGTATGTCTTTTCTGGAGGGGGATAGAAAACTGGGCCATCTTCACAGACAGAGAGCCCATGACTCATGGAAGTCTCATCAGTCAACAAAGCATCTTGCAGGAAGGGGGAGTATACCCCTGGCTCAGTACAATTTCTCAAATGTAGGTCTTTGGTGAAACAAAATTCAATTTGACCAAGCGTTTGTACTTCTTCTTCCTAGAAATTAAAAAAATTTTTTTTTTCAGAAAACATGTCCTTGTTTTTGTTTTCCCCCCAAAATCATATGGAATCATGAGAAGCAGCATGATGTAGTGAAGAGGTCACTGGTCTTGGAATCAGGAAGATCTAGCTTTAACACCTAATAGCTGTGTGATCTTTCATGGTTGTATAACCTCCCTTCCAGTTCTAAATCTATGATCCCATGAGATTTTCGAGCTGAGGAAATAGAAGCCAAGTGGTTAAGTGATTTCCACAGTTACTGATGACCTCTCTTCTTTGCCAAATCCCATGGCCTTTTCTCAATCCTCATTCTTCTTGACCTCTCTGCAGCCTAATGTCTACTGTTAATCACTCTCTTCTCTCTAAGTTTTTGGGACATCACTCTGTCCTAGTTCTTCTATCAGATTGCTCCTGCTCAGTCTCTTGCTGGATCCTCATCCAGAAGTTAGAGTATTACGTCCTGGGCCCTCTTTTGTCCTCCCTCTATACAACTTCACTTGGTCATCTCATCAGCTCCCATGGATTTAATTACTCTCTGTAAGCTGATGATCCTCAAATCTACCTATCCTCCTCCAAATTTTGCTGACCTCTACTCTCGCATCTCCATCTGCCTTTCTGACATGCTCAAATTGGATGTACAGTAGACATCTTATAAACTTAATATGTCCAAAACAGAACTTATTATTTTTCCCCTACACCTTCCCTCTGTTCTACCTTCCCAATTCCTCTTATTCTCCTATATCCAATATGTTGCTAAGACTTATTTATTTCAACTTTGCAACATCTCCAGTGCATGCCTTCATCACCTCAAGCTTGGATTATTACAATAGCCTGCTGGCTCAAGTCTCTCCCCACTCCAATTCATTCTCCATTTAGCCACCAAAGTGATCTTCCTAAAGCCCAGGTCACCTTCCTACTCAATAAACTCCAATGGCTCCCTATCACCTCCAAGATTAAATACAAAACCCTCTGTTTGGCATTCAATGCCCTTCATAACCTAGCCTTCCCCCACCTTTCTAGTCTTCTTATTCTTTATTCTCTTTGATTGAGTGACACTGACCTCCTCACTGTTCCATGAACAAGACACTCTATCTCTTCATCTCTGGGCCTTTTCTCTAACTGTCCCCATGCCTGGAATTCCCTCTCTCTTCTCATCTCTGCCTATCCCTGACTAACTTCTAAATAAAATCCCATCTTCTACAGGAAGCCTTTCCTAACCCCTGTTATTTCTAGTGCCTTTCCTCTCTTAATTATTTCTCATTTATTCTGTATATAGTTTATTTGTATATATTTATTTGCTTGTTGTCTCTCTCATTAGACTGTGGACATCTTAAGGGCAGGAACTGTCCTTTGCCTCTTCTTGTCTCTCCAGCGCTTGGCACAGGGCTTGGCACAAAGTAAGCATAGTAAATGCTTGCTGACTGACATCCCTAAATTATTCAGTTACCTGGTGGCAGAACCAGAAGTAGAACCTGTATCTCTCTAATGACAAATCCTTTTCTTTTTTCACTATTACTACTTGGTTGTAAAATGGGTAGAGATCATCCACCATCCTGATGCCTCCAAGATTATACCTACAAAGAACCTGGGCAGGTCCTAAATCAAGCTGGAAGATCATCTGTCAATACAGTGCCTGCCCTTCAAGGACTACCCTGGGTAAGTGGAGAGAGGCTTACCATCAGAAGGCTGGCCACCAGTCATTGGTTTGGGGGTGAGGTTGGAGTACAGATGTTGCTCTCTGCATAGGTGGCCTTTTTTTATACTAAAGTTGAAGTACTCAAGCCATATTTTGAATTGTACAGGGAGGAATTTTTATTTTTCTGGTTCATTAAAATCCTAACACAAAAACGTAAAGTTTGTATACACATATAAATACATTCAGCTAGGCACACATACATACATACACATGCACACACATACCACATGTGTAGTTTTTTTCCTCGGACGTATGATATGTAGGGCCATTTGGACAAATAAGCCCTTCGTGAAATACTTACTACTCAAACTACTTGGGAAATCAGGATTCCAGTTTAATGCCATGGAACAATTATGGGGAGGAAAAGGTATTAAACCCACTGTCAAACCACTCCCTTCTAAAATAAAAGCTTTTAAAAATCAAATGCAAAAGCACTTGTTATTTGACTTATTTCATACATTAGAAAAAAATGTTTGGCAAATCACATCCACTAAGGAACTTCTCTTTATTTGATCATAAATGTTGTTTTTGACTTGCGAGAATTCTTCTTTTGTCCTACTAAAGGCCTTTGTCTAAGAAGCAAAGTCATTTTAGGCTCTAAAATTATATCTATGGTAATGCACAGAATCATACCTAGGAAGGGGAACCTCAAAGATTCTAATTCTATTTTCATTCTGACTTATCAGTGAGACCTTGGACCATGGATTTAATTTCTGTCAAATTTACAGAAATGTCCTTGGGAAGAGAAACAACAGAACTTAGTGCCTGGCGGGGGGGGGGGGGGGATAAGAAGAAAGACAAAATTGTAAGCTCCCTCCCAGAGGTCTGGGGGTGGGGCTCCTTCTCCACCCTGTCCTTCCCCTTGTTATACCCTGAGCAGGAGCAGCCCTGTGCTGATATGCTGGAATCTTTCTCTGTCCAGACTCATCAGTTAAGGAAGCCTTTTGGGGCACACTTGCCTTAGGTGCAGGTTGTGGTTCAAATCCCAAAGTATAAAAAGTCCCAGTTGTAGCTCTATATACTATACAGTACATCTATCAGTATATACCTATACATATAAGTGTACACAAGTATATCCGTATATGTATGTGTATTAAAATATCCATATATAATACATACACATAGTATATCTGTATCTCTCTCTATATATGTATAGATAGATAGATAGATAGATAGATAGATAGATAGATAGATAGATATGTATGTATATGTTACTAGGAAAAATAATGCTGGACCAGGAATTGGAAAAGATTCTAATTCTATTGTCTCTCTGACTTATCAGAGAGACCTTGGACCACGGACTTAATTTCTGCAAGTTTATTTCATCATCAATAAAATCGAGACAATCATATTTTCCTTCCTTCCAGGAAGCTAACACGTAATAACATACGTGAAATTACTTTTAAAAGTATAAAACTACAGAACTGAATGGCAACTGTTGCTACATATGTTTTAAGCAATTACTTCCATTAAAAGGGGGAGCCTTGTTTCCTCAAGCCATTGTTTATCACCTTAGTACAGAATGTAGGAGGCTTTTGTAAAACAAAATCACTTTAAAACTTTAGTAACATAAGTTGAAATAGAATAGAAACAATCTATTAGATACTTAAAGGAGAGAGATACATGGGGAAATTAAGGCAATATAAAGCCAAACGATATCAATAAAATCAGTTTTTAAAACATTTAAAAACAAATTTATTATGGTCTAGTGAAACTACCTAGTGTTATTGTACATAACATTTTCTCTTAGTTCAGTTCCTGTAAGAAACCAAAACTTACTACCACAGATGAGAGGGCACATATGTCTCATAAACATAGCAAAACTGAAAGCCACACAACTATGGGACGAAAGTTCTATTTGCCCCTTATCAGTTGTCTCTTTCAAACTCCTAATTTAAGAATTAAAGGTTAAAATTAAAAGTTAAGCAGTTTAAAAACTGCAGGTGCCTTCCAATGACTGGACTTGATCCCTGAGCAGTGCTGGTGTATGGTTCTTCCATTCCAGCCCTTCTTTAAAGAGTTATCTATTCTTCTGAGTGGGAGAAGAGACTAATGAAACTTTTCACCAGCATGGTAAGGGAAGAGAAATTACTTGTTTAAAACACACTCCCTCACCCGACCCCACCCCCACTCCTCTCTGTTCCTGAGAATTTTATGGGAGCAACTAAGCTGAAGAAAATATGACTTAATATTTTTTAGTCTCTGAACGAGTGTTATCAAGCTCAATGAAAGAGTCAACTCAGTTTTCCATTGCAGAGATGAAAAAGAAGAAAAGAAAACATACTCTACCTGTTCTGGTGGAAGGCACTGAATTTTTGGTACTACCCCATACACACTTGTGAGGGCATTCTTAATGTCTACAATCTGAAATTAAATAAATCAGTTAATGTCAACTATTTAGAGTTAATGTAACTATTTACATTCTTTGGATTCGGACCCATTTGACTCTGAAATTCCTTATTATACTGTAGCATAATACTGTATGTCCATGAGATACACATAAAATTATCAACGGCAGGATAGATGGTTATACTACCAACAGACCTTCATCTCAAATCAATTACTATTTATTAAAGTGTCTATCATGTGCATAGAACTGTGTTTGGTGCTTGGCTTACAAAGAGGAAAATAAACCACAGTTTCTGTGATCAAAGAACAACATAGACAAACACCAGCTTCAATAGACTCCCTCACAATGTAAATGCTTTTACTGTGTCTTTAAGAGGATTTAATAGACTGAGGCTGAAGGGTTCGGTTACTTGATTGATTAATGAGAGATCTTGCCATTTTAGCAATTAATGTGGAAATATCAGAATATATTCCTTTTTTCCTTAGAATCTGACGTAATGAGAGTAAAGAAGGAAAATATACTAGTAACAAGTGGAGGGAGGGAGGGAGAGGGGGAGGGGAGGACGAGGAAGAGGAAGAGAGAGAGACAGAGACAGAGAGAGAAGATCATGTGAATGTGGTCCACCTCAAACCTTTGTTACAAGTATAATATGACACAGAATGTGAGGGAGGTGAAGGAGAGATCTCGTACTTTAGGAAAAACATAAGGATAGAGAAAAGCACTTAGTGAGAAGTATTAGGGAAACTTTCATGGAGCAGGTGGTATTTCAGCTGACCTTTAGAGGAAGGGAAGGCTTTCTAACAAGTGGCAATGAAGAAATTCATGCCAGACAAATGAGTAAGATAGCAGGCCCAGGAGAGAGAACAATCATACTTGACAGTAACTTCTAACAACAGCAAAAACTAGGATTTATACACTATGTGCCAGGCACTCTGCAAAACATTCAATTCAGATGTTATTTCAATTGATCCTCACAACTCTGGGAGGTAGGTGCTGTTATTATACTCATTTTACAGATGATGAAACTGAGGCAAACAGAGGTTAAGTGACTTGCCCAAGGTCACACAAGTGGCTGCAGCCGGTTTTGACCTCAGGTCTTCCTGAGACCAAGTACTCTCTCTACTGTGCCACCTAGCTGCCTGGTTAGGACGAGGAAAGAGGAAGGCAAAGAAATTAAAGGGATTCTAGAAGCAGAAGCATTTACATCTTCAACCATAACTGTCCCAGGATCAATTTATTGAGGACTTATCTTCACATGTAAGTCTCACAAGTCGAGAGCTTCTCACTCTCTTTCCTCAAGCCTATCTTGCTGCTTTGCCACAAAGTGCTGCTGCTAATTCTGCTTTCATCGCTTCCTTTTTCTCCCCTCCCTACAACCATGAAGCCCCTCTCATTCCCACAAGCTCTCTTTCCTTCTGCCCAGCTTTCTTGCATCCTATCCCCCTCGCTCCAGAGTTAACGAATCCCAAAGACGGCAAGGACGTCAGACACTACCTAGTCCAGTATGCACATGAACAAGCATCCCCTCTGAAACATTATCACCACAATAACTATAACCAATAAAAGTGCTTGGCCAGCCTCTGAGAGACAACTCAGAGTGAATGAGAAGCTACCCCACTTGAGGCAGCCCATGAGATCTAGCTGATAGGGTGTTTTTCCTCATATCAAACCAGAATCAGCCTATCAGCAGATTTTGTTCTAGTTTTATCCTCAAGGACCAAACAGAAAAAATCTAATACCTTTTCAGTATGATAAGTTTTTCAAGTATCTGAATATTTGAAGTGGTCCCGAAATATTCTCCTGGCTCAACACCCCTAGTTCTTTCAACCAATCCTAAATTCGGGCGCTCAAATCTTAACATAGTACTCTAAATGTGGCCTGACCAGAGCAGAGTAAAACAGCACCATTACTTCCTTCATTCCGGATACCATGCCTCTCTCTTAATGCAGCCTAAAATATTTTTTTTTTGGGCTGCCATATCACTCTGTTAACTTGTGTTGAGTTTTCAGTTTGCTATCAGACACACACACACACACACACAGAGACTTCTTAGATCTTCAAATCCCCTCTTTGCTACTTACTCCCTATATCACCTTGATCAAAACACTTAAAATTCCTGGGCCTGTTTTCTCATCTATAAAACATGAGGGCTGGACTAAATGGCCTTTAGGTTCTTTTCTACCTCTGCAGCTATGGTCCTATGAAGCCTCACCCCATATATCCAATCAATCATCCAGTCTTGTCAATTCAACCCCTTCTCTCTACTCAAACAACCCCCACACTAGGTCAGGCCCACATCACCTCTCTCCTGGACCACTGCACTAGCTTCCTAATTGGGTTCCCTGATTGATCTATCTCTTACTAACTGATCTTCCACCTATCTGCCAATGTGATCATAGTGTAGCACACATCTGATCATGTTGCTATCTTGCTCAGGAAGCTACCCTGGCTGCCTATTACCTTTAGGATCTAGTACTAACTGCTCTGTCTGAACTTTAAAATCCTTCACCACTTAGCTCCATCTTACTTTTCCAGCCTTAGTATATATCATTCCCCTTCATTCACTTGCCTATTCAGCTAAAATGGCCTTCTGGCTATTCCACATCCATGCCCCCACATACCCACCCCACCCACACTCAACCCCCTAATTGATCTCTTGCCTCCAGTTTTTTGTACATGTTACCTCTCTTCCTTGAAATGTACTCCTTCCTTACTTCTGCCTCTTAGAATGAAGTTATCTTCAAAGCTCAGCTCAAACAGCATTTCCTCTACGAGGCCTTTCCTGGTTTTCTTCTCTCCCACCTCTAGCTCTGAGTGTCTCTCTCAAAACTGCCTTGTGCTTATTTTACATATATTTATTTTTACATATGTAAATTACTTGATGGAATGGACTTCCATTTTTGTCTTTCTATCACTATCATCTTTCTCAGTGCCTAGTACATAGGTGTTTAAAAAATGCTTATCAGTTAACTGATTGGTATTAACTCTTTCAAGATTTATTATTTAACCTGTTTCCTCATCTGTAAAATGGGGATAATAATAGAATCTACCTCCCAGGGTTGTTAGGAGGATCAAGTGAGATTATAATTCTAAGGTGCTTTGTGCACAGTGCCTAGCACATAATAAGCCTTATAGAAATGTTAGCTGCTATGATGAGGATGATGATGATGACGACGACGATGATGTCTCCAGATCACAAGTTCTGGACACAAGTACAGATCATAATGGAAAGCCTTGTAAAGATCACAATCAGCAACACCCAGGCAGAATTATTTAAAGGACAACTGCACTTCTTTTGTTTTCCACCGGCACTGAGAATGTCAACTGGAATCACTCAAGTAGAAAGTAAGAAGGACTGTTTTCCATTTTGCATCCCCAGCACCTAGCATGATGTCTTGCCCATGGAAGGCATTTGCTAATTATTTGCTGGATTGTATTGGAGTGGAGTGGAATGTAGTTATAAATTGGAAGGCAGCCACTAGAAACAAAGCCAAAAGAGCTGACTCATTTCACAAAGCTGAATAACTGTCAGAGTCTTTCCATTTAAGCCAGTGAAACCCTAGGAGTTAAATGTTCGTAATCACTGAATCATTTAAACAGTCTTGATGTTGTATTCAGCATCCACTGGAAATGAAACACTAAAAATGAAAATTTGCATGTAAACGTAAGAGGAGATGAAAGATGGTTTGAGTAGAACAGCTCAGAAAACACAATTCTTGCTTAGTTAAGGCTGAGATGGTTTTCAGGGTTGTTGGTCTTATTACGTGGCATATTAGTTAACTATGAGGCTTAAAAGTAAGAAACTCACCTGATAGTATTGGACAGATGGCTCTATCCCCAACTTCAGGAGCATACTAAAATTAAAAACAAAAACAAAAAAGCAATGGCACTACACATCTTTAGAATTCAGATATATTTTCTTCTCTTTTGTTTACTCAAAATATTATATGCAAGACGTACAAATAAGAAAGTCTAAAACAGATCATAAGAATTAGGACTATCTATCTACTATATCTATCTACTATATAGATAGTAGATAGATACAGTAGGGATAATCTAATCCAAGACATTTTACAACTAAGGAAATTGAGACCCAGAGACATAAAATGGGTTTTCCATGGTCACCAAAGTAGCAAGTAGTTGAGCCCTGATGCATGTCTAGGGCCTGACTCCAAATCTAGTACTCCGCTAGACAGCAAGATCCTCAAGGGCAGGGACTGTTTTTTGCCTTTTTTTTCATCCCTAGTGCTTAGCACAGTGCTTGGCACATAGTAGGCCCTTGATAAATTTTTACTGACTCAATGCTACACAAATAAATGCTCTTAATGGGATTGTCGTTGTTGGGTCGGTTCAGTAGTGTCTAATTCTTCGTGACCCCATTTGAGGTTTTCTTGGCAAAGAGACTGGAGTGGTCTGCCATTTCCTTCTCTAGCCCATTTGACAGATGAGGAAACTGAGGCAAACAGGGTTCAGTGACTTCCCCAGGGTCGGTCAGGTATCATCTGATGCCAGATTTAAACCAAGCCTGGAGTTCTATCCACTGCACCACCCAACTGCGCATGGGATTACTTTTTCTTTTAAATCACTTTACGAAACAAGAAATTTAAAAGTACAGAAGAAATTATTTAGGTCTTAAGATTTAAGACAACCTTATTTGGTCAAAGGTTGAAGTACCTTCCGTCTTCAAATATTTTCCAAAGCAGCAGGTTTTAACTTGTTCTAAGAAATCTTATTAAAACACCATGTAATTAATTTCTTCTCTGGGCTATGGAGGTAGTCAACCATAGACTATTTCACTGATTCTCAGCTTCATCATCCCAAAGAAAGTAATTTGCACATTTTTCATGAAGCCTTCCCCGGACTATTCCAGCCTAGAGGGATCCCTCTGCAAACTCCCCCCATGAATTCTTACCATCCGTGCCACTCATTTGACACTTTCTGTGATGCTTTGCTCACTTAGTTCACCCTGTATGTATGTCTGATTCCCTTAGTGTAAAAGAAACTCAAGGAAAGAGTCCCCCCACAATCAATAAAGGTTATCAATTGTTGGGATAGCTAGATGGTGCAATAGACAGAACACCAACGCTGAAATGAGAAAGATCTGAGTTCAAATTTGGTCTTAGACAGTTACTAGCTGTGTGACCCTGGGCAAGTCATTTAATCCTGAATGCCTTAAAAAAAAAGTTTATTGAATGAAGACTACACAGGAATTTTATATATATATATATATATATATATATATATATATATATGTATCTGTAGTCATATGAAGTTTTTTACAAAAAGGCAAATATTAATACCTATGTTTTCTTTTCCTTCCTCCCTCTTTCTTTCCTTTCCCTCCTTCTTCCTTTCATCCTCCCTCCCTTCCTTCTTTCCTTCCTTCCTTCCTCTTTCCACCATCCTCCCTCCCTTCCCACTGCAGCTCAGAATTCCTGACGTCAAGTACTCCAGCCTCAGCCTCCCCAGTAGCTGAGATTATAGGTAGGTATGCCCATCTCCTTCTTACCCAAACAGCTTTATTTTCTACAGTATCTCAATCCTTTCTGGTAGTAAATGATTCTGAAACAAGTATGATAGTATGGTAGTGGAAAGAATACTGAAGCTAGAGTCTAAAGACCTGGGTTTGAATCTTGGCTCTGCAGCTTACTTAGCTGTGTTCCCTTTGACAAATCCCTTTCCTTCTCTGGGCCTTATTTTCTTTCCTCTTCTGTAAAATGAAGAGGCTACATTTGAGTGGCATAATGGTTAGAGATCTGCACTTGGAATTGGGAAGAGCTGGGTTCAAATCCTGCCTCTGATTTTCATTAGTTGTGTGATCAGGGGATAGTCACTTAACCTCCCTTATCTTTGGTTTCTTCATTTGTGAAATGGGGAGATTGGCCTAAATAGCCAATTGAATATATCCTTCCCAGATCTAAATCTATAATACTATTATCCAATGGACTCAAAATTAGGGTGCTTCTCTGATCACCTAACATACATACAATGAATTAGAGTCTGTGAAACATGAAGATTATAGACAGGTTTTTATATCTCTTGTACTTATACTTCTACTTTCAGAAATGTAATTTCATAATACAGTCACTTCCCTAAGGGCTAAAAACCTAGTTCTACGTGGCTACCCTAATGGCCCTGTATTAAAGCTAGGACAGTGGGAGAAGGCACTGTCCTTTCTGTCAGCACTGAATATTGCCTCATCTAGGTAAACTAAGGCTCCCTCAGACACTCCCTCAAACACTCGCTCTGTTCTCCGCCTGTCTTTCCCTCAGTTTTTTGATGCAGGAGGGCATGTAAATGGTGGAGAAGATGGTCTCTCCTCTTGATTCCAATGAAATCGAGGAAAAAATCAATAATTTCTCCTCGACCTTGATTCAACTGACCAGGCCGGTCCTTAGCTGTCAGATTTGCAGGGAACACAGCACATGCAAGTGGCTTTTGAGCCCCTGATCCTGCTGTTTTGGCCTCATTTCTAGGCCAGACAAGCATGCAGGGTTCTTAGTTCCTTTCATCATCAATGCTTTTATTATAGTGAAATAGTTTTAAAAATATTTGAGAGAAGACTGTGGTTTACTAGCCATTGTTAGGCTATTTGTAATTCAAACAGCTTGTCTTAGTCACAGCAAATCCCTGACAAATGAGAATAATATGAAGTAATCCTTTGCTAATCAACCATATTTAACTTATGTGATTCAAATCTGTTTAAATGATGAATAAACTTACATCAGATCCCTAAGCATGTGTTCCAATCCCTTGCCAGATAAAAGCATCCATAAATGAATATTTCATCCAATTTCATACAGATGGATATTCTATTTAAACTTAATCAAAAGCCATGTAACAGCTGGGATTCATACTGATAGAGGTGACTACACTTGCTAGAATATAAAAGGGGCAGGGTGCCTTTTACAGTAGATGAGTGGTTCCATAAAAGACAACCTGGGAAAAAAGCTTTTAAAAAAACTCTTTAGTACACAACAATGTTTTTAGGTTTCCCCTTCCCTCCAAAATGTACACAGTAGAATAAAAATAAATAAAATTATAATTTGCATTCCATTCCAAACTTAAGTTGCCATTCGTACTATATAAATGGTAATTTATAAGGCTGACATCATAGGACCCCAGTTATTTTACAAGGTTACTGAGAGCAGGAAACTATTCTCTATTTTATTTTTATTCTCTCATAGCACCTGATACAGGATAACACATTAAGGCACTGGTCATCTACTCCAACCTCTTTCATTTAAAAAAATGAAGAAACTGAGTCCTAGAAAGGTTAAGTAATCTCCCCAAGATTATACACATAATAAATAGCAAAGCTAGGATGCCAACCTCAATTCTTTGACTTCAAATCCAAAGCTCTTTCTACTTTACCTTGAGGGAAGGAAGGAAGAAGGAAGGGAGAGAAGGAAAGATGAAAGAAAGGAAGGAGGGAGAGAGAAAGGAATGAAACACTCATTTATTAAGTTCCTACTATGTGCCAGGCAAACTTCACAAATATTACTTCATTTGATCCTTCCAACAACTCTGGGAGGTAGGTGCCATTATCCCCATTTTATATTTGAGGAAACTGAGGCATAAAAAATTTAGGGGACTTGCCCAGGGTCACACAGCTAGCTAGCAAAAGTCAGAGGGCACATCTGAACCCAGGTTTACCTGACTTCAAATCTAGTACTGTGGCATCTTGCTGCTGATACTGCCCACAGTAGGTACTCAACAAATATTGATTGAACTGACAAGCAGGTTGGCATTATTTAACTAAATATCAAAAGAAAAGTGTAGAGATGTTTTTAAAATAAGTATATTACATACTAAAGTAATTATAATTAGATTTGGGTGGGTACAAGATGCAGCATTTTGGTAGAATTTATAATATAGCACTTTCTTTATTACCACAACTCCCCAAATATGAATATCCAGACATAGACACTCAGGCAGAATACCTTCCTTCTCCTAAAAGAAGGGAGGGTGGGGAGAAAAGAGGGATAGATTGGGTGAGCAGGATCTACCCCTTCTTGTTCTTGGGGTTGTAACAAAGGGAGGTGAGGGGATAAAGCAGATGTGTTATTAGCATTCAAAGTTGGAATGTGGGACACATTTTCCCAGAGAAACAAGGTTATAAATGATGTTTAGGTTTTACAGTACATAAATACTAGAATTCAGCTATACTTTGAAGTTTTTCTGGACTTAGACCCTAAGTACTACCAATAACATTATTTCCTTTGGAAAATGGAAATAATGGAAAATAATTGAAAATGGAAAATGGAGTTCCAAGTGCCCAATTTATAAAGATTTTTAGAAGGCAACCATTTCATTGGATGAGGACAGTTTGTATTGGGTCTTTATTCTGGGAAGCTCAAGTCACTTTGCATAAATTACTTCTTATTCTGACCATACAAAGTGGGGTTTCAAATATGGCAGTGCCAGTTTTTAGAGGAGGCAACTGCAGTACCGAGAAGCAGCATCGCAAGTTAGACGCAAGGATCAAGAGAAGCACTGTGGATCTTATATTTTATTCATGATCCTCTGATTCCTGCTTTGAAACATACGTCCTTCAAAGGACCGACTAAATAAATATAGCTTGGTTGCTTTTGAGATGAAAAGATGGATAATGACTTGAGACCTAGTAAACCTGTAGCATATGAACAAGGTGAAATGTTGTACTGCTGGGATCCTACATATGAAATGTTTCTTTAATACTCTACAGGAAAACAATGTGCTTTTTTCACTATTTCCCCAAGGACAAAATGTACCTCAGCATCACATTTTTTTTTTTTAATGTAGAAGTCAAAAATTGATTCATCTTTCTTTTTCTTACAAATCATTACTGTGGAATTTGTTTGTCTCAGAAGTTTTTGTTTAGATGTCAAAAGCCCATAAACAGTATCTATTTTGTTTCACTTACTTCATAGCCATAAAAACAATGATAAAGCTTCAAACCAAAAATTCCCAGACATGCAGAGTAGACGGATCAAAGGATGAATGCCTGAAGAGATTCTGACAACCTGGTTGAAAATATACTTGTTGAATGGGGGAGAGGAGAAGGGACTCAAACCCCTCTTTGTATGGTTTGATTTCTTTGCATCATTTGATTAAGAGGGCTTGCAAATCAAACCCAATACAACTAGAAAGAGTCACACGCAACAGGAACAGGAAATGCCATCTTGTTTTGGATATACAGAGTACATCAAAGGGGACAATACAACTATAGATAGTTAGGCCTCTGCAAGAGCCATCATGGTTATTAAAGGCAACAACACAAATATAAAGTGAAGAGAGAACATACCTGTTGAGGTCAAGATTCTTATAAAATTCCAGACATTTACCGAAGTATTTTTTTTGAGAATTTAGAGCATCCAGCTGGGCTGCACATGTTCCATGCTTCTCCCACTCATGCTTCCTGTAAGAAACAAAGAAAAATTAAGAGTATTAAAAAGTCTCCGTGTGAAAAGAAAATTGGAAAAGACACATGATGACAACACTTATATTTGTTTCCACAAAATAAACCCACTTCATCCTACTGCTCTTTCAGACAGGTTACTTCTCCAGCAAAGCAAGAGAGATTGAGAGTACTCACAACATGTATGATTCTGAAGTCCCCTCAAACACAGGCATAGGCTACTTGGGATAACATTCGACAGCCCCCGTAGAATGCCCTCCTTTCCCTCCTTTCATTGCTAATCAGTTCCAATTCATTTCTACGATTACAGCCTGCTCAATCTGCAATAGACTTAGGGTGAGAAATATGAAAATGCCATTGTTCAAACACCCACATATTCACTAGGAGATGTAAGTCATGTGTTCTCATGCAGATAGCTAGTATTTTACAGTCAGAGCATTTTACAGAGACAGTAAGGATAGACAGTCATTTTTCAGCAATGAGGCATGAATAGATAAGATAACTCATTCCTAAGAAAAATGCCTTGGAATTATTTAGTCTCATCCTCTTCTCCTCATAGATAGCTTTTATTGCTCAGAAACACAATAATGGTAATTCAAAAGAAGAGAGAGAAAATCCACCCACCTACCCCCTAAACTGTCTTCAAACTTAACAGTAAAATTTTTCTTCAAGAAAACTCATTTCAACAATTTAAATCATGAGCTTTGATCTGTCACATAAGGTATAGGGTATTAAGTTTATCTAGTTCCACAAGGAGGGGAGAGAAAAAAGTTTATCAGGTCATCCAAGAATTAAGTTAAAATTAACAAGCATTTATTAAGTACCTACTATTTACCAGGCACTGTGCTTAGGGTTTTATTTTTGTTTTTACAAATATTACCTCATTTGATCCTCACAAAAAAACTTAGGAGGGAGGTACTGATTTTACAGATGAGGAAACTGAGGCAATACAGAGGTTAAGTGATTGGTCCAGAGGCACATAGCTACTGAATATCTGAGTCTGGATTTGATCTCAGGTCTTCCTGAATTCAAGTCCAGGACTTTATATACTGTGCCACCTACCTGCCTCTAGCTATTCATGCCCAGGAAGGATAAATGCATGCAAATGAATAAGGAAATCAGTTGATTGAAAATTACTTGGCTACATACAGTAATAAGGGGGATTCTGTGCTTGTTAATGCTACCTCTATACCACCCACCCATTTCTCAACATCTTGCAAAATGACTAGTTCCTCCCCATCACTCTTGTGAAACCACTTTCTCCATGGTCACCAATGACCTCATTCAAAACCGACTAGCCTTTCTTAGACCTTATTCTTCCAGAGTTTGCAGTAGCCTTTGTCACTGTTGACTCTCTTCCTTCTTGATTATTTCTCCCTTTGGTTCCAAGATGCTGCTCGCTCCTGCTTCTCTTCCTGCCTATCTGACTTTCCTTCTTCCCTTTTTCCATCCCCTAAATGTAGGTGCTCTACCAAATTTGCCTTGGTCTTTGTTTTCTAAACCCTTTCTCTTGACCATCAACATAATGGGTGTAGGAATTTCTTGGGACAAGGTAAAATAATTCAATTTATTGACATACAATTAATCTGGCAACTTTTTACATTTTTATAAACTTTTACTGTGTAGTGTTTCCTGTGGTTTTGATATATTTCAGCAAAAGAGCTTTAAAAAGGATAGAGGAATGACTCATTTTATAGATTAGGGTGCGAGGGGAAGAAATGTACATGGTAATTTTTTCATGTATTTAAAAGGAATAGCAAGTTGTACATAATAGATTTGCAGTTTCATGTGTACCATCACTTTTTTAAAATTCTACTATGTTATAGAAATGCTTGTTTTATTTCACAAATTAAAAATAAAATAAATTTTTTAAAAGGATAGAGGAAGTAGAGAGTATATATATGTACATATAAAATATATACACATATATATGCATGTATATACATGTCTATATGCATGTATATCTATACACACGTGAACATCTGTATTTCCATATCCCAAGTTATACAGAATAGAGAGCAGCCACAGAAAAGGAATAAAGAGGAAATTAAAAGAGAGGACGATACTGGGGAAGAGATAGTCATAATCAAAACAAACTTCCTGAACCTGAAGGGGGGATTAGAAGAAAAAAGAAAAGAACAAGAAGCCAAGTGGGTGCCAATCAATTGGAGAATGACTGTACTAATTATGGTATATAAATATAATGGAATAAAACTGTGACATAAGAAACCGACAAAAGAGAAGACTTCAAAGACTATAACAACAAAGATGAAACAGTCCCTGACCTCAAGGAGAAACCATTCCATAGGGAGAGACTACATGGTCTCCACCAATGGAGGTAGGAGAGACACAACATTATGTGTAGAAACAAAACCAGTTTTATATAATCAGTTCAACAATCAAAATGTATCTGGCTCTGTGCAAGATTCAAGTCTTAGCACAAATTCTCACTTGAAATAAACAGAACACGCACCAGATACTGTCACCTCAGGTTTATTCAACTTCACATTATGAAGTAACCACAATAAAAATCTAAAATAAAAATGAATTCAGGGTTGGAACTAATCCAAAGTCACCCAACTTGTTATGGTTGCCACTGGTTTTTAAAATTTCTTTAACCTTAAAGAGAAAATGTCACTTTGAAGGACAGGTAAAAGAAAAGACGCATGACTAGATCGCATAACATAAAACAGTTTCCATAGCAGCTTACAGAATTAAAAGATGTTGGCAGTAGATAAGATCTTAGCATCCAATCCACCCCTTTCCTTTTCACAAGAATTGTAAACAAATCTTTTATACAAGGATCTGCAGTCATCGAGGACATGTTTGAATCCCACCTCTAATACCTAATAACAGTGTGGCCAAAGGGCCAGTCACTTGAGCCTCAGTTTCTTAATTTGTAAAATAGGGATAATAACAGATAAAATGTCATAGAAATGGAGAAAGGGAGTAGATTAACACTCTTTCCAGCAGCAATGGCAATATTTATTTGAAGGTTATTCTTAGCAGCAGTCAAGAACACAGCCCAGGTAAAAAAAAGGGACAGGACAGTTAGCTAGATAGTGGGTAAATACTACAATATTTACTTCCCAGGGTTGCTGTGAGCCTCAAAGGAGACAGTACATGTAAGGCACCATATAAATGTCTGCTATTACTAGTTAAGGAACCTGGAATCCGAAGAACTAAAAGTACTTACCCAAGGTCATAGAGCTAGTTCATAGATTTAGAGCTGGAATCGACTTAAGAATCATTTAATTTAACTCTCTCATATTACTGACAAGGAAGCTGAGGTTGGTGGACTTAGCCAAAGTCACAACAGTACCAGCTGGCAGAGCCCAGGTTCAAACCCAGGTCTGCTGAATATCTCCCATGATTCCCTCTATTTTTAGCTACACTTGACTATAGCTTGGATTGCTGCTGTAGATAAACTTCCCTGCTTTCCTTTTTTCTGCTTTCCAGCTCTGAAACCATAGTCCAGAAAATAGTGTCATTGCTGCTAAGAAGAATGTGTTAGTGTACTTCCTGTAACTGTACTCCACTCACCATTCCTGTGACTTTTCAAACCAAAACATCCCTTCCTAGACACCACTCCCCTATAAGAGTTATGGCCCCTTATTAGAATGGAAGCTTCTTAGGAGCAGAGATTGGTTCACTTTTCATTTGTATCCTCAGACCCAGTGGGTGGCACATCATAAGTATTTAATAAACACTTATTTATTCATCTGTTTATATGGTTATGTCCCTTCCCCTTACCAGTGATCTTGGAGATACAATGAAGGGAGGTGGCCATTGCTCCAACCAGCTTGGCAATCAATCAACCAATAAGCATTTATTACGGGCCTGCTAGGTGCCAAGGCTGTGTGCTAAGCACAGAGATACAGATACCAAGAGACACAGATTGCCCTTGTGGATCTTATGTTCTACTGGTGAGATACAACTTATTTACAGATACGTAAATAGATGTGTACACAAAATAAAAACATAGTTCTGGGCACTGTGGGGGAATAGGGGCAAGTAGGGGGAGGGTGAACGGACTAATTGTTACAGCTCAGGGCCTAGCACACAGCAAGTACCTAATAAATGCTTACTATTAGCATTGTCCAGTCAAGGTCTTTTTGGATCTGACCCTTATCATCCAGGTTTATTACCTTATCTTCTTAACAAGTGCTATACAAAACATTGATAAGCATGTCACCAAAGCCTTTATCTAAGTCATTGATAAGAATGTTAAACCTTAGAGGCCCAAGCACAGACCACTGAGGCACTCCACTAGAGACCTAATTCCAAGCTGAAATTGAGCCACTGAAGATTAATCTTTGGGCCCAATCATTCTGCCTGTTCTGAATGTCACTGTATTATTATTATATTCTACATAATCTTGTTTTATTTTATAAACATTGTCACTTGAGGTCAAAAATGAAAAAAAAAAACAAACAAAATCTATCCAAACAGAAACAATTATTTCCTGATTAGCTGTCCCTGTGCTAAAGAACTGCCACTTTTTAATACATTTCTAAAGAGCCTTAAAAATAAAGACATAATTTGAACAAAACATCTTTCTTTCTTAATAAAACCAAATGAAATCAAGTAGGAAAATATTTCATAGTAGAATAAAAATTTTGCAAGGTAGCTTCTACAAAATTATGCCCCTTTCCAGTAACACTACGAAATCCAAATAATAAGACTTGGGAGACAGAATTACTAATTTTCAGATTTACTTTTTTCACTCAAACAAAATATAAGAAAACTGTAACTTACTACTGAATCCTAGAAGATTAAAAGTCATTTTGACCTTGTTAGAAATCTTTACTCTGAATCATTACATATTTTTCATTAAACATAACAGGGCCTATCATGGTATTTGGAACACAGTAGACATTCCATATATGTTTATTGATAGATTGATTACTAATTTATCATCAGTTAATATCTCATTGGTCTCTGAACCGAACAGTATAATCATTACAGCATTCATATTTTTAACAGTGAACTGGTTACCATAGTTTCTTTATTCTTTAGTACAGTACGAAATATAATATGAAATGCTTTTTCCTGGTGCTATCCCATGTCAATGCAAAATACTTGGTTTTGTTTTGTTTTGTTTTTCAGCTAAAAACAAGGTTTATTAAAGATCCACCATACTGACCAGCCTCTTAAGGAATCTGAACATTTGTGAGCTATTGGCTAGATTTTAAGAATCTGAGTCTTTGGCTAGATTCTTAAGAATCTGAGCATTGGCTAGATTTTAAGGATCTGCTTTGCATAATACTTGTTATCTCTCATTCCATATTCTAAGACAGATGCTATGCTAAACAAAAGAACTAGCCTAGATGTGTTCTATACCTAGATTAGCTATTTTTAAACTGTTATTAAAACTGATTTTCTTTTTAAAATTCATCCTACATAAAGGAAAATTTCAAGCTACAGTCATAGTCATCTCATTGTAAAGCCATTTCAGTGGAACAGCCATACTCGGGGAGAAATTTTCCACCTGAACCCTACAACACCATTGAAGTAAAAGTGACTTCCACACCACTTCTTTCCAACACAAAGCTTTTCCTGACAATCCTCCAAAGAAATACTTTCAGGTTAAACTCATCTCTGAGAAAAGTCAGACTTCATCTTGGGGAAAAAAAAAACCAACCTGGTTTCATTGTTGTCTGCATTATGAAAAACAGAACTTAGAATGGGGAAATAAAGAGGCATCTTGCCTTTAGCCAATCTAATTTAACAAAGGGAATATTAGGTTTAACATCTAATGGATATTGAAGATTTGGCATGATTTTATTAAAGCAATTATTTTTAAAGTTATCTTCAAATTAACAGATTTCAAAGGCATGGAACAAAGATGTAGCACTGGAAAGGAACTTAGAGGCAAACTAGTTCAATCACCTTCGTTTTTCATATGAGGAAACTGAGGCCCAGAGAAGTGATGTGATTTGTCCAAAGTAACACAAGTAGCAAATGGAATGGAACCCAGTCATCTCTGACTCCAAAACAAAACACTCATTTAACTGTAACATAGGGCCTTTCTCACTTTCAGTAAAACTCAGCTTTTTCTGAACATTAAGGGGTTTAATTGAAACAAGCTAAATATTTTTTTCATTATAAATACTAAGCTCAGCCACCATTTTTTCAGTTATTCAAATATGACAGCATTTATTTTTCATGAACCCGTTTTACCTTTTTCCCAAGAAAAGTTCAAGAAAGCAACATCCTCTTTCAGAATAAGTTTTTTCCTATCTAATAGGAAGTCAAATTTTTGTTGGCATTCAAATATTTTATACTATTAAGTCATGACTTTACAAACCCAAAATCTAAGTGAAAGAAATAAAAATAATGTAATTAATGTATGATGCTAATATGCAGTAGTGACAGAAAGCATGGTACAGTGAGTGGATAGAAGCTAGGCTGCCCCCAGAGTCAGAAAGACCCAGTTTTGAGTCCCACCGCTAACCCCTATTTGACCATGGGTGAGTCCCTCAAATCACTGAGAACCTCAGCCAACTCTGTCATTGGCAGTTACCCCATATATCAAAATCAGTTTTCAGATATTATCAATTCTATCTCCACAACATCCCTGGCATTCATCCCTTTCTCTCCACTATCACCTACCGCCTGACTGTCTCAATAATTTCCTAATTGTTATGTCCATAGTCAAGGTGATAGGTGATAAGGACCTTCTAATTGGCTTTCCACTTCTTTCTCATCTCCAACCAATCCTTCATCTAGCTACCAAAAGTATTCTTAAAGCACAGAAACCAAGTCACTCTATGATAAACTTCAGAGCTTCTATAACACATATAGGATCAAATATAAACTCCTCTGTCATTAAAAACCCTTCACTGCTTGTCTCCAACCTATCTTTTCAACCCTATTTTACATAATTCCCTTGATGCACTTTTAGGTCCAGATCAATTAGACTTCTTGCTCTTCCTCATACACAACATTTTGTTCCCATCTCTGGGCCTTTGCCCACAGACTGTCTCCCACTTCATAAGAGAAATGATTATTAATAACTAATTATTCAGGGAGATTGAAAGTTCTCCCTTTCTTTTCTATTTTCAAAACCTCAGTCTCTGATGGTGGAGTTAAAACTTCTTCTTTATCTGACCCAACCATACAAGGAATCTCTCAGGTGAATTCCATTCAATCAAGCTTGGATGGACACAGATCCTTTTGCCTGGATAGCCCAAGGCTGGGGGTGGTCTGAGTATAGAGACAGTTTCTCTATCTCTAGAATTCTATCTCTCAAGGGTGATATGATGTCATTCTCAGCCCCTCATTTTAATATAACTCATGTCCTATTATGTTAGCCAATCAGAGTTGGTTGCCACTCTTCTTCCAAAAGAACATATAAGCTCTGAGCCCACTGCCATGATTGTCTTTGGTCTAAGAGAGTTGGCCAAATGACCCTCCTTTTATTAATAATGCGCTGGCCTTATTAATAAAATGATGAAATTACCCAGAAACTACGTCTCTTGAAATTATTTTAATTGCCAGCTTAAAAACTACCTCCTATATGAGGCCCTTCCTAATTAATTATTCCAGTTTCTAATATCTAACCACCCAAATTGCCTCCCATTTACAGTGTCTATATTTGGGATACACTTCTCTGTTTACAGTTCGTCTCCTATAAGATGCAAGTTCCATGAGGACAGGAAACTGTCGCATTTATGTCTTTGTATTCTTAGTACACAGAATTCACTTAATAAGTGCTTGCTGATTGACTGATCAAGATGAGAAGGCAACCTGCATTGGGAGAAGGAAGTTTCCACATTAGCTCCTTACACAGATGTAATCACAGGTCCAGACCATATGCACACACATAAACCACATTATATATGTTACTTCCATATTCATATCCTACATCAGAAAGTCAAACAAAAAGATTATAAAAAGGAAATTCCATTTATCTATTTTTTTTACATGGGAGAAAGTCACGCAAAGAGTTACATGACAGAATCATTTCTATACAGCGTGTTTTTCAAAGTTTTCAGCTTTGGAAATAGATAGAATCTTCTGTTTATGCTTCTCACGAAAAATTTTATTTAACACTTCACTTATAACATTAGTCCTAACTTGTTTTTTAAAAAGCAAGAAGAGTTCTTAAAAGTACTTGGACTTACCAGAATTGGCTGCGATTAGGAGATGGATGGATTACATCAGGCCAGAAATGCCTCATGTCAGGCAAAAGATCCTGTTCAATTAAAGGAGAGAAAAATCCATGCATATTTTAGTGACACAAAATCAAGAAGGGAAATTTGGTAAATGGGTACCTTAATATATCTAAGCTACTTCCATTAAGGAACACAAAACATTTTGTGATTATTCCACCCACCTAGTATCTAGGAAGAGTTCTCTGAATGCTAAATTGAAGTAGTAACCAAAAGCTGGATTTCAAAATGCTACTTTCCAATTTTAGTTCTGTTAACATCCACAACCAGTAACCACAGCTGCAAGAAGAAATGATGACCAACCTCTGGGCATCAAATGAAAAACAAAAGTTCAAGCTAGTGCTTTTAGATTTCGTACCAAGGAAACATGAGTAAAGAACTAAGCTTTGGGCTAGTATGTGAGGATGGAAGAGTTGTCCTTTTCTACACCCCAAACTTCATAGTAATAATGGAAGACAAAGTCTGGCTACACATGACTCAAAGTCCACCATTTTTTCCACAACACATAATCCATTTAGCATAAATAGGGGCACAAATTTTGAGATGGAAAGCCCATCAAAAGCCATCCAGTTCAACCTCTTCCTTTTAAAGATGAGGAAATTGAGACCTGGAGAGTTGGAGTGACTTGCCCAATGTCACATAAGTAGTAAACACCAGAGGTGAAATCTGAACCCAGTTCTTCTGACTGGACAGCCAGGACTCTTTCTGCTTTACCATTCCCGAATATAAACTTCAGGGCAGGGACTGCTTTATATTCCCAGTACCTAGTGTGGTGCAAATAATAGGTGCCTAATAAGTGCTTGTGGATTTAGTGATTGATGGGAGCAGACTTTAAGATACACTGTTCTCAGATTTCGTCTAAATGTTAAAACTGTTCAATTCAGAGAAAGATATCAATACTAGCATCACATCGAGAGAAAGCAACCCCCAAATTTAAGCCCATTCAATATTTCAGCATGAGATTAACCAAGCCAAGCCAATGTTCTTCAGGGCTTATCAGCACATTTTCAGCTTGTCTTGTTAGGTCTATACACAGAAGAGCAGATGTCCAGATCTTGTTTGCTTAGCCCCTCCCAGAAAGGACCGCCATCCTAGGACAGATGACTTCCTTTCACATCTTCCCTATCCCAGGTTGTATGCTATGTGTGCTCTCTCCCACCATAGTCCACAGTTCCCACTGAGTGTTTCTGAAGATGGAGATAAACATGGAGACTTTATTGCTGTTTCATCTCCTGTCTCCCCAAATAGCTAAAGGGTCATACAAGTCACCTTGATGCTTCAATAAGATTCAAAGATGAACAATGGTGGAGACGGTGATTTTCATCTTGCATTCCTGCCACCCCAACAAAGGTCCTTTTCCTCCTTATAATTATTCTTTTGTGTGAAATTTATTAAGAATTTACTTCTAATATTTCTCATTTATCATCAAAAGTAAGGACATTCTTTCCATGAATGTTAATTATCTTTAGGTGGAAAATGGGAATAATTTTGATAAGATGGTTTATGGGGCTTCCCCCCACTGAAAGAGCTTTGGAAATAAAGTGATTAAGAACTACTGCATTAGATTAGCTTTTCAGAGAAGCGTACTCCCTGAGCATCAATGGCAGGAATGAATGATGAGTATGGGTGTATTGAGAAGAGGATAAAAAAAAAACAGAAGCTATCCCTTCTGACGTGAAGGGATATACAAGCTAGTTACAGAAATAAAATACATTAATAAGAAGCAATCAATAAATATGTACAGACATATATCAGTCAAATCTAATATACTTGAACACATTTAACAATAAAGAAACTCAAGAAAGGAGTTATTATCTTGGTAGTGTTATAATGCCACAGATAAAGCTAGAAGGGCATTAGGCCATTACCCTCATTTGACAGATGGGGAAATTGGGACCCAGAAATGTTGAGTGATTTCTATAGGTCAAATAGCTAGCAGTAAGAAAAGGCTTTTTCCCCCTACATATTTACTTTAGAATCAATCAATGAAAGTATTCCATAAAATAGAATCAATCAATAAAAGTATTCCATAAAATCTTTAGGGTTAATTCTGGCGAGCATATCATGATACTAAAACTTGGTCAGAAAACTTAATTCCAAGAACACTGCTATTAATAATGACAAGACTATTCTAGTCAGAGCACAATTTAGCACTGACTTTCATTAGATAAATTAAAAAGTGATACCTTGGGAAAAAAATAAAACAAAAAAAAAGCAATACCTTGATCTCATCTAAATTAAAGTGCCATGATCGGTTACACTCTCCAGCTTTGTCAGGCCTGGAAATAAAAAATAAATAAATAAAAATAGAAATGAATGCTCAGATGGTTTTCCTCAGGACCTATGGCTAATAGTTTGCCCTTTCTTTCTACATTATATTAGAAAAGTTACAATCAGCTCTTCTTTCATTAGGTAGCCTCATTAGAGGGTGCTGTTTACACTAAGATTTCCAATGAACAATAGTCAAATAGCATCAATTTGTAATTATTAATACTGCACACAGAAGCCATCTAACACCAAATACTCAAATTCAATTTAGCAAGAAAACCACTAACACAATCATAATTGGAGTTTCTTTTTAAAATTGCAAAAGTTTTATTAAAACATTTAAGAGTCTTATCCTGCAAGAGGATTAATGGAAAAAAGGTTCTTCTAGTGAAGTGAGCCAGGTAATCACATTGTGCCCTCCCTCATTCACTGCCTGGTTATACAAAAAATCCTTTTCCTACAATATTCAAGCTTTTCAAATCTTCCAGTTCTGTGACAGTTCCTGATTATACCAATTCCCATTCTTTCTCTACTTATTTACTTAGTTTACTGCTGACATTTTTTCAGGGACTACAACATTTCAAGAAGTCCTGCATAAGCTGAAAAAGGTCAGCTTGGTCAAAAAGTGTTTTGATGACAAAGAAAAAAATTATGGTTCCCTTTGCTATCAACAAGAGATTTTACATTGCACAGAGATGATGCACGTAAAATGTCTTGCCAATCTTCAACTGCTAAATGAAGGATGTTGCAGTTACAATTACTTTTAACCAGATTTACACTTTCATTGGTATAGAAATTGCCTGGTAAATAACTTCCTACATAAAACCAATGCTGATCGGCATCTGCTCTGCAACTAACTTAATGTTTTGAGTTATCTGGAGCCCAAAAAAAGCTAAGTAACTTGCCCAGGGTCACCCAGCTAGTATGTGTCAGAGGCACATTTGAACCCAAGTGTTCCTGAATCTAAGACCAGTTCTCTATTCACTAAGTCACACTGTCTCCTTTATTATTATTGTTACTGCTGCTGCTGCTACTACTACTAACATTTCTTTGTGATGCTTTAGTGGCAGCTAGGTGGCATAGTGGATAGATTGCTGGACCTTGAGTCAGGAAGACTGATATTCCTGAGTTCAAATCTAGCCTCAGATACTTAAGCTGTGTAACCTGGGCAAGTCACTTAATCCTGTTTGCCTCAGTTTCCTCATCTGTAAAATGAGCTAAAGAAGGAAATGGCAAACCACTCCAGTATTTTTGCCAAGAAAACCCCAAACGGGGTCATGAAGAGTCAGACAAGACTGAAAACGACTGAATAACACAAAAATGGGACCCTTTATCACTTGCTCATTCAACAGCCAAGGTACTACTTTTGCCCTAGTAGGTAAAATTCTAATAAGATGTATGTTTTATTGCAACTTCATAATTGAAGCTATAATTATTAGTAGAGTTATAATCACAGAGTACTGCATATGAAAAATTGCAAGTTATGCTACGCAAACTCTTTGATCCAGCAATACCACTACTAGGTCTATATCCCAAAGAGATTAAAAAAAAAAGTAAAAGGACTTGTTTGTACAAAAAATATTTGTAGAAGCTCATTTTGTGGTGGCAAAGAATTGGAAATTGAGGGGATGCCTATCAATTGGGAAATGGCTGAACAAGTTGTGATGATTCTAATGGAATATTATTGGGCTATAAGAAATTACGAGTAAGGTGATTTCAGAAAAACTTGTAAAGACTTACATGAACTGATGCAAAATGAAATGAGCAAAACCAGGAGAACACTGTAAAGAGTTAACAACAATACTATATGATGATCAACCATAAATGATTTAGCTATTCTCAGTAATAAAATGGTCCAAGACAATTCCAAAGGACTCATGATGAAAAATGCTATCCACCTCCAAAGAAAGAACTTATGGAGTCTGAATACAAATCAAAGCATACTATTTTTTACTTTATTTTTTTGTGTTTTTTCCCCTTTGGGTGTGTGTCATCTTTCACAATATGACTAATGTGAAAATGTTTTGCATGATTGCACATATATAACCTATATCAGATTGCTTACTGTTTCAGGGAGGGGTCAGGTAGAAAGGGAGAAAATTTGGCAGTCAAAATTATTTTTAAATCATGTTAAAAATTATCTTTATATGTAATTGGGGAACAATAAAATATTATTTTAAAAAGAAGTATTAAAATATTTAAATAAAATAAATACAAAAGAACAATTTTTTTAAAAAAATTTTAAAAAAAACAAAATTTAAAAAAAATCTGAAGTTATTGAAACTAGCCTCTCCATTTAATAGATGGGGAAATTGAAACCCAAATTGGTTAAATAACTTGTCTAAAGTCACAAACCCAGACAGGAGCAGAATTCAGTTTTCCTGAGTCTTACAAGTTTTCTCTATAACAAACTACCTTATTAATTAGATCAGGGCTTCTTAACCTGGGGGTATGTGGACCCCTGGAGTCCACGGATTGATTTGAGGTTCCATGAACTCAGGGGAAAAAACAATAATATCTTTATATATTAATAATAATATAGTATATTAATTTATAATAATATATCTTTATCTATAATATCCTTTGGTTTCCTTTGTTAACATAGGTATATTATTTTCTTCATTTAGAAACATTGCTCTGAGAAGGGATCCTTGGCTTTCTCTGTCTGCCATGATACAAAATAATGTCCATGACACACAAAAAAAATCCAACTCCAGATTCCATGATCTTACCTCTAGAGTCCCTCTCAATTACATGATTGAGCTGCATGGATAGCAATGTGTGATGGTATGAGTAACAAATAATATGAATTTTGGCACTTTAAGGCAAGGAGAGAAATCCTACTATCACATAATAAGGATAGAGCTCACATCTCTAACAGGACAATGGTAGCTTTTATTCAAAAGAAATATTATATTAAAAGGGTGATAGAACACAGAAAAGAAGATATATCAAGATATATCAAGATGATATAGCCCTATGTAGAATCCATTGGTCCTAAGAAAGGAAACAAGGGGAAGAATATGTAGGGGAGGATTAAAGGTTGGAGAATCAAGTTAAATATTTGTAAGAGTATACTAGAAATCACCCTGCCAGACGAAGGAAAGGGGTGATGTCTCTGATGCAGATTATAAAACCGAGAATCAAAATACGGTAGAGATTGAAGATAACAACTTAGACATCTGGTAGAATTCTCATTTCACCAAAAACAGAGTATCTGATAAATTCTTGACTTGGCATGCTTACATTTTCACTTCTCAGAAGGCAAAGGAAATAAAAAAGGGATCTGCTCCTTCAGAAATAATTGTGAATGAAATGAAAGAACTAGTTGATAAAGGGGGAAGTGAAAGGGTAACGAGAAAAACTGATTGTCATTTTACTGTTTATGACAAACAGAGGACGGTGAGGCTGGTCAGATATGTACCCTAGAATAAAGAAAAATAAGTTTCAACAAATCCATAAAAGAAAATTGCCATAAACTCATGGCCTGAGTAGACAAAGGGAGGTGATATTACAGCAGAAAAATAACTGAACTTGAATTCAGTTTGGAGATTTGGTTTCAAGTTCCACTTCCTCAACTTACCAGGCTTGACCTCTAGTACCTTCTGTTTCCTCTTCTGTAAAATGAGAGTTATAACATTAACAGTTCCTACTTCAAAGGGTTTCTATAAAGATCATGTGAGATCCTGGGTACAAAGCACTTTACAACTAAAATGTGCTCCAAAATGTAGGCTACCATTATTACCAAGAGGAAACATGATTCAAGATGGATAGAAAGTTCTCAAGAATGAAATTCTTGAAAATTATAAATGGTACCAATGAGCAAGAAAAGATGGACCTTTCTAAAAAGAATCCACCCATAAAACTGGAGAATGGCTGAACAAGTTGTGGCATATGATTTTGATGGAATACTACTGTGCTGTAAGAAATGATGAGTATGAGATGCTTTCAGAAAAACCTGTAAAGACTTACATGAACTGATGAGAAGTGAAGTGAGTAGAATCAGGAAAACATTGTACACAGTAACAGAAATATTATACAATGATCCACTATAAATAACTTAGATATTCCTGGCAATATAAAGATATAAGACAATTCTGAAGGACCTATAATGAAAAATGCTAACCAACTTCAGGGAAAGAACTGATGGAATCCAAATGAAGATTGACACATAGTGGGGTTTTGTTTGTTTGGTTTTTTAACTTTATTTTTCTTGGGGTTTTTTCTTTCACGTGACTAATGGGGAAATATGTTTCACATGAATGCCCACATTATAACCTTTATCAAATTGCTTGCCTTCTCAATGATAGAAGAAGGAAGGGAGGATGGGAGAAAATTTGGAACTCAGGCCCTGGACTCAGGAGAACCTGAGTTCAAATGAAGCTTTAGACACTTACTAGCTGTGTGACCCTGGACAAATCACCCAACCCCAATTGCCTCCCCCACCTTCCCCTTTTCCCCCAGAAAAGGTCAAAATTTTTTTACATGTAATTGGGAAAAAATAAAATATTAAAATTTAAAAAAATAAAGAGAATCCAACAAACTCAGATTAAAATACACACTCACGTGCACACACACATAAAAAATGGGAGCACCAATGTCTAAGAAAGAAAAAGAATGGTATATAACTTTTAAAATGATGTCAGAAAGGTTAAAGCTTAGAAGGGATTAAATCTTACAAAAATATAATATCCTCGAAGGATATTAAAAGGAAGAAAAACATATATTTTTCATGTTTAAAGATAGCAGCATTATTTATCACTGAAAAATTCCCAAATGTTCAACAATTGGGGAATGGCTGAATAACTCCAAGGTTCCTTTCAACTCTAAACCTAATATCCTAAGAAAATGTGAGCCTCTTCTTTAGCACTGTTTAGAGTAAGAAGCACACGGAAGGGATAGACCCATTAAGTTGGGATCTTGTGATATAATAATTAATTATGGAAGGAAAGCATAACTACTCAAGCTATTTTTCTACCATATTCTCTGAAAAGGAAACTAATCTTCAGACTAAAACAAGCAGAACAAAAACATGGTTTAGGCAGAATTTTAGTCTAAGGTAGGTGAGTAATAGCTCTTTCAAATGGGTTCAAGCCTACTGGCATGAATGAATTCTATTCCCTAAAAGAACTTGCAGATATGACTGCTAACTCATTGTGGCACAATTAATATGACAGCACTGGGATCTGGAGCCAGAAGCCACATCTTTAAAAACTGTCTCTGTCATTTAACCTGTATGACTCTGGGCAAAAATTAGCCTCTCTGAGACTCAAGTTTCCTCAATGGTAAAATGAATGGGTTTGATTAGTTGGCCTTTAAGGTCCCTTCCAGCTTCAAATGTACAACTACCATCTCTGAGGATCCAAGAAGAACATCAGCGACAGAAGATGGGCTATCTGTTCATTCATGATTTGTCAGTTCTTTCACAAGTGTTTATCAAGCACCTCCAATGCAGAGAAGGTGCTTACTTGCATTGGTGAAGAGAGGTTTCCTCACCAAGGTCATCACAGGCATAGTCCCTATCCCTATTTACAAGGATCTCTGCCAGGCAAAGGCGTGACCACAGGTGATGCAATGTAATGTAGAGGTAACAACAAGCTGGACAACTTGATTGAAATGCAGGGTGCCTGAAGGAGAATAACGCGCAATGAGCCCACAAACATAGGCTGGGGCCAGATTGGTGAGGGTTTTAAGAGTTTAGTACGTGAACTTGTAATTTGTCCTGGATGCAAGAGGGAGTCTTGGTCAGAACTATGCTTTAGGAAAATCACTTTGGGAACCACGTAGAGGATGGACTGGAAGGGAAATCAGAATTTGGACACCAATCAGAAAGCTACTGTCATAGTTCAGGAAAGAGAGGGAAGGGGGAAGGGAATAAACATTTATGTAGGACCTACTATGTGTCAGGAACTGTGCTAAGCACTTTACAAATATTAAATATGTCATATGATCCTCAAAACAACCTTGTGAAGTAGATAATGTTATTATCCTCATATTACAGTTGAGGAAACTGAGGCAAACAGAGATTAAGAGACTTGTCCAGAGTCACAAAGCTAGTTTCTCAGGCTAGAGTTTCAGGTCTTCTTGACTCCAGGCCCAGGACTCTATGGATTGCTCCATTTAGCTGCCTGTAGCTGAAAGAGGGAATGAGGGTCTGAGATAGAATGGCTGTTGGATAGAAAACGGATAGCTGTAGAACCAATAAGAGCTGGGATACTTCCCAAAGATGGCCATCTGAATGGACACAGATCATGTAGTTTCCCCATACCTACTCCAGCAAAAACTTGAAATTTGTACTAGATTGGATAATGATCAAGAAATCCAATGAGAAACTATAGCAAGCAATCTCTTCTACCCCAGAACCATACAAAGAGCCAACCAGAAGACCAGGGGGGATGGGTGGAAAGGCAGTAGGAAAAGGAACTGCTAGCAAAGACATTAGCTTCCCAATGTGACGAGCAACAGGCCTACATGAAACCCACAAGAGTGTGTGTCAAGAGGTAGCAAGAGTGGAGGACCCCCTTGAGAAAGACTGAAGGAGGTCAGAGAGCCCCAAGATGGGTACTTTGGAAGCCCTGGGGAACAGCAGAGACCAGAACAGCACCCTAGCTAAGATAGCCCATGTGTCTAGGAACTCCAGGGTCCCTAACACTATGTACTGAAATGGCAGCAAAGGCCCTAAATACACAATGCTTTGAACTTTGAAGATCCATGGGGTAGGAGGGCTGGCTAACCCTCAGAGGTGGAGTTAAACACAGGAAGCCAGAGGACCCAGGGCAAGACAATGCAGGAAGCCTATTCATAATAGAAAGTCTCAGTTCAGGAATTTAAGCTGGGGAAATAAATAAATCAAAGAAAATACCAATCAGTATGAAAAATTAGCTTGCCCAGGGTCACATAGCCAGTAAGTGTTCGAGGTCAGATGTGAACTCATTTGCCATTTCTTTCTCCAGCTTATTTTATAGATGAAGAAACTGAAGGAAACAGGGTTAAGTGACTTGCCCAAGGTCACACAGCTAGTGTCTGAGGCCAGATTTGAACTCACAAATGTGAGTCTTCCTGACTTTAGGCCCAGCACCTAGCTGCCCATAGAAATTTTAGGCTACGTTAATCAAGTACAGTGTCAAGATAGAAGAAAATGAGAATTCAATTGTGTATTTCACTGGTCAGACCACAGCTGGAGTATTATCAGTTCTGAATGCCATATTAAGAAAAATATTACAAGCAAGAATGTGTCCAGAGGAGATTAGGAACCAAAATCTTTGCCATACAATGATCATTTGAAATAAATAGAGATTTTTAACCTAGAGAAAAGATAATTTTGAGGGTCTATAATCTTTGTTTTCAATTTTTTAAAAGGGGCATCTTGTTGTTTGTCCTTCATTCTTGAAGAGTACCATGACATCGGGAAGGTGACATCTTGATTTCCAAGTGAAGTGGATTTAAGTAAGGCAGAGCAGTGCAAAGTCACCAGCTTCAAAAGCAATTTGGAACTATGCCCAAAGGGCTATAAAACTGTGCATAAATTTTGATACAGCAATACCACTACTAGGTCCATATCCGAAAGAGATCATAAAAAAAGGGGAAAAGACCCATATGTACAAAAATATTTATAGCAGTTCTTTTGTGGTGGCAAAGAACTGGAAATGGGGGAGATGCCTATCAATTGGGGAATGGCTGAACAAGTTGTAGTATATGAATGTAATGGAATACCATTGTTCCATAAGAAATGATGAGCAGGTAGATTTCAGAAAAAACCTGGAAAGACTTACATGAACTGATGCTGAGTGAAGTGAGCAGAACCAGGAGAACATTGTACACAGTAACAGCAATATTGTACAATGACTAACTTTGATTAGACTTAGCTCTTATCAGCAATGTGATGATCTAAGACAATTTCAAAAAACTCATGATAGAAAATGCTATCCACATCCAGAGAAAGAACTGTGGAATCTGAATGCAGATCTAAGCACCCTATTTGCTCTTTTTTTTGTTGTTGTGGTTTTTCCCTTTTGTTCTGATCCTTCTTTTATAACGCGACTAATGTGTAAATATGTTTAATATAATATAATAAAGTATGTGTAGCCTATATCAGATTGCATACCATCGTGGGGTAGAGGGGAAAATTTAGAACTCAAAATCTTATAAAAATGAATGTTGAAAACCAAAAAAATAATTAATTAAAAAATAAAATGGAAAAACAAAACAAAACAAAACAAAAGTCACCAGCTTCACTCTCTCCTCCAGAGCCATCTGGGTACAGTGGCAAGATACAGATCAGGATGACTGGAGATGGCCCCCAAAGGGACATTTTATAAAAAAGTAAAGGAACTTGTTCTGCTCTACCACAGAGGTCAGAGGATTCAGTAGAATGTTTTTGATAATGAAAAAAAAAAAGCAATGGATTTAATCTACACAGAGACAGACTTCTGTTCAATATATACAACTTCCTAACAATAAGAACTATCCAAAAATGCAACAGGCTGCCTTAGAAAGTATGCCCTTACGCTATCAGAGATATTGTCAGAGATATTATAGAAGGGTGTCATGCTTCATGTAAGGGGTTGTATCTGGTCGCCCCTGGGATACATTACAGTTCTGAGATTCAGAGCAGGGATGCATAACTGATTTACTCATGGGTCACGGGGTGGACTAGCTGTCCAAACTCACATTTTAAATGTCTTATTTCCAGGCTTGGAGTCAGGAGGACCTGAGTTCAAATCCGGCCTCAGACACTTGAAATTTACTAGCTGTGTGACCCTGGGCAAATCACTTAACCCTGATTCCCTCACCAAAAAGCAAAAAAAAAAAATCAACAACAACAAAAAATAAAAATCTGTATTTACTTCATCAAATCTAACCTAGACCAAAAGCAAAAGAATCAGTGATGGTATAGAAGGACTAAAGTCAATCAACTTATAAACTGAATATATTCACCCTAACTAAAAGTAACAAAAATAAATATTGGGACTGTAGTTTCAATGTGGTCATACTAAGCTTATTTATAAATCTAAATGTTCGTTGATTAAAATTCTTACCACAGCCCATGTATTGTCCAGTAATTAGGGGGATCTCTACAGTCATTTTCAATTTCCTAAAGGGGGAAAAACAAAAACAAAAATGACTTCATTATTTATTTAAATACATTCTGCAGTCTTATGCAACATTGTATGTATAAATATATACATATACACACACATATACATATGTAACATAATAAATTATATATAGAATAAATTATATATGCATATATGTAATATAGAATAACTTATGATTATGACATGCTTATAAATAATGTGTACAAATGTATCATATTTATACGTGCACATGGATATTTTAAATATTTAATCTCCATTGTTGTGTTACAATTAATTTGATATAGCAGCATTCCTATGTGTAAGGAAATAACATTTCAACATACTGAGCCCAAAAAATGACTACAAATTAGAATTGTAACAATTTAGAAAATAGTGTGTTTACACTGTCTGTCAGTTTAATAGTGAACTCAAGACAGTAGGGGAACTGCTTATACTTCTTACAGGTAATTACATTGCCATACTATGAAAAATAAATGCATAAGGAAAAAAATATTGAATCTAAATCAGTTTAGTTATCAGGCAGATCCAAATGATATAGCTATAACAAGAGCCATGTCAGACAAATAGAGAATGGTATAGTATTGGTATTAATAATAAAGGTAAAAAATAATTACTGCCACCTGTCTCTACAACTAGAGACAACAACTCTGTGGCTGTTATGTCTTCACGAAACTTTATTAGATCATAGAATTTGCTCAATGCCATTTCAATTGAAAAGTCTCTGAATGAAATTTAGCATGCCCACGTTAAAAGCATAGGAGATTCCTTGAAAGGTAACTTTGTTCAGTCACCCTCTGATTATTAAAATCAAGTAGGGCATAAAACAGGAAAGCAGATGTATACTCCTGGCGTACAGGATGTCCAGCGTAGAGTTATGTTGAAGAGGATTCCCCTCTAGATGGTGAGGTCTTTTAGGTGCTCCTATCTGAGAATGACACCACTGACTGCATTGCGCCCCAGAATACTACAGAACTTCCGAAATGAGATCTAGAACTCAAAAGAGTTCTGTTCAACCATCCACACAAAGAAAATGCAGTGGATGAAGACAGCTTGTGGAGTAGACAACAGTATATAGCTATAAGGATGACCCAGAGAAAGATATGGCTATAGATATAGATACATAATAAATATATACATATATATATATACATATATATCTCCAAATAATTGATCAATTAAAAATACCTATTGATATTTGTTATATTAATGCCTATTATGTGCCAGGCACTCTACTACGCCCTGGAGAGACAGGTATTTAAAGAATGAAACAATCCCTACATGAAAGAAGCTTAAATTTTAATGGGGGAGACAAGCACATATACAATATAAACAGCATAAAGTTAATAAATAAATAAATATACAAAGTAGTTGGAGAGATCAGGAAAGACTTCATGTAGAAGATGATTCTTGAGCTGTATTTAAAAGAGAGGAACTCGATGGAATGAAGGTTATTTTTTTTTAGCGGCTATTTCATTTTTAAGTCATAAAGCCTGGGCTTTTTACACACACATACACAGAGCGAGACACACATATGTATGTATGTATGCATGTATGTATGTATATATGTATATACATATGTGTGTGTGTATACATGTGTATGTACGTATTTAAATAACTGTTTGTATAGCCTCAGAATAGTCATTTTTCTTCTCTGCTCCAATTTCCTTTTCCTACGCAATTCTGGATCCAATTCACTGTAAACCAAGATACCTTCCTAACATCCTTATTTCTGTCAAGGACGCCATATCCTCCCACTCTCCCAAATTCCCCACCTAGGGAACATCTTTGACTCCTCATTTCCTGTAACACCCCATATCCCTTTCACTTCTCTGGACCCACATCCACTTAGTGGCCAGCTCTAGTCAGTTCTGTCTCCACAACATCCCTCATATCGTCCCTATTTCACACCGCTACCATCCTACTGCACGCCCTCATTACCTGTCATCTGGATTACTACAGGAACCTCCTAATCAGTCTCCCTGCATTTAGTCTCTTCCAATCCATTCTCCACATCGTCACCAAATAACCTTCCATATGTATTTTCTCCTTTTATTAGAATGTGAGCTCCTTGAGACCAAACACTGTCTTGCTTTTCTACTTTTATGCACAATTTAAAGACTTAATAAATGCTTTTCTCATTTACTCTCTTATTCCTAAAGCACAAATCTGATCATTTTACCCTCTCTTCTCTCCCTCCCCCCGCCATAATCTTCAGTGGCTCTCTATTATTTCCAGGATCAAATGTGAACTTCTACATTTGATATTTAAATCTCTTCTCAAGTCAGCTCTAGTATGCCTTTCTAGACATATGACACATTACTCCCCTTCATACATTGTAGAGTACCACCAAACTGGCCTTTGCATAGGATAGCTAGCCTCATTACTGGGAATGCATTCCCACCTCACCTCTCTGTCTTAGAATCCCTAGTTCAGCTCAAGCACTGCCTCCTACTTGTGGCTTTCCTGATTCCCTATTGCTAGTGCTTATCCTCTATTTATTTTGTATTCACTTAGTATATAGCCTGTATTTACTTATATGTCTACATATTGACTCCCCTCATAGAATGTAAGCCCCTTGAGGGCAGGCACTCTTTTGCTTTTAGCTTTACACAGTAGAAGGTAGTAGGCCCTTAATAAATATTTGTTGATGAAGCTGTCCAACTACCTGTAGTGAAACAAGGGGAAAGGTAGAGCTATGATCTCATTAGGGAAAGAAGAGGGCCTTCATGACCCCTCCCTTTTTCTCCTGAGCTCCATGTTGTCTTTTTCCAATGCAATGGTTTGTAATTTCCTTTTGGTGGCCTTTATTAGATTTGGGATGAGGGAGATTGAGGGTAATTGCTACTGGATGGCAGGACCAAAGTCTAATCAGAAATTTAGCTGTAGCTTAGCTCTGCCCCATCTTTCCAGCTACAATACAAACACCACAAATTAAAGGCTTTTTCCTGGAGATTGAAAATCACAGAAAGCACTTATTATCACAGGGTTTGAAGCTGGAGGGGAATGTGGAAATCGTTTCGTTCAATGCTTTTATTTTATAGCCAGGGGAAACCAAGGTCCAGAGAAGTTAAATTATTTGCCCAAATTCATGCAGTATCCGTAGACAATAAACAGTTCTGCACAGAATGTTAACAATAAGCTATGGATAGGGCACAGATTAGCTTTGTTATGCAGAATGCTTCCCTTGAAATTGTATTCCTGAAGTAAGATTTTACCTGTAACTGGTTTATAAAATGCATATATTTTTACAGCTTTAATGCACAACCCAAGTGCACGACAAATAAGCTATTACTCACTAGCACCTCAATTAATTATATTTACACTTAGCCCACAAAACTCCCACATCCCATTACACAAATGTCTCACTGAACATATGGCCTTACACTGAACATAAAGCCAGACTTAGCATAACCAAGCACACAGTAAATTTCCCAAGGCCTTACTTCTAATAACCAAAAACCTCACAAACATTTATGAATCTTTTACCATGCGGATGGCACTGTGCTAGGCACCAGGTATGCAAGTATGAGAAACGACAGTCTTTTAAGTAACTGAGCTTATAGTCTATTCGGGGAAATTCGACATGCATATTTATTGTTGTTCAGTCATTTCAGTCATGTCTAAGTCTTAACAATCCCATTTGGTTTTTTTTTGTTTGTTTGTTTATTTGTTTTGTTTGTTTTGTTTTTTTGGCAAAGATCCTGGAATGGTTTGCCATTTCCTTCTCCCGCTCATTTTACAGATGAGGAAACTGAGGCAAACAGGGTTAAATGACTTGTCCAGGTTCACAGCTACTAAGTCAGAGGCCATATTTGAACTCATGAAGATGAGTGTTCCTGATTCCAGGCCCAGCACTCCATCCACTGTGCCTCCTAGCTACCCCAACATGCATATAGATAAGTATAAAACAAAACGAGAAGCAATAAAGCTCAGTGGATAGAGAGCTGGCCTTGGTGATGGGAAGACCTAGGTTAAGGCCTGCCTCTAATACATGCCAACTGTGTGATTAGACAATTCTCTAAAACAGCTACAGAGCAGTTACTGATCTGCACTGGCAGAGGGTGTTTCTATTTCAGGTGTTCCTTTCAATCCATCAACAAACATTTAAGTGCCTATTATGGGCCAAGTACAATGAAATCACAAGTTTGGACCAAAAAAAAAAAATACAAGGTAGAGAGTGATGGAATCAAAGAAGAGATCCAAACATTATAATGTGTAATGTTTTTCAGAGAGGTAATACTTCATTTGCAGCTTTCAAGACTATTATTCTTCTATCCTTCCAAGAACTCAGGTCTTAATTTAGAAAGGCCAAGGCTATCCATGGTGCCCTGGGCCATCGCCAGTTATCCTGACTTTTGTCTTGCCCCTGCACTTTGATGACTCTGCAGGAGACAGTGAGGCTAACAACTATGCTTAACTCTGCCTCACTTAAATCTAATTCACAAGCAAGTCAAGACATCACCCTTGTGATGTCATTCGTACTCTTCAAGAATGAAGGACAAACAATAACAACAGAGAAGGCTGTACAGAGTGCTTACACCTGAAAGAAGCCCTGGTACACTTAATAAATGCTTATTGCCTGCCTACCGCCTAATGCCAAATGTTAATATCACAATTGTTTAATTTGTATTACCTACTGCTATTCTGGCACTTACAGTGGGTTGGGACCCCAAAAGCACAAACCAATGATCTAAGCAACTTTATCACTGGAATTGTTTGGATCCTCGATGCCCAACACAAAACCTGATTCAATAAAAGACTCCTTGGCTTGGACTGTAAAAAAAATCCTATTGATCCTATCTCTGGAATATATCTAGGCTATTCCCCCTCCTTTTTTCCCCCTAATGCCCCCACCATTCAGGCTCAAACTATCTCTCATGTGGACTACTGTAACAACTTCCTAAACCATTTCTCCCTACACTCCAATCTCATCAGCACGGCTAGGTCAGTCTTTCTAGAACACATATTTTTATCACATCACTGCAATACTCAAAAATCTTCAGTGAAGGCAGCAAGGGTTAGCTGGTAGAGTGTTTGACCTATAGTCAGGAAAAACTGGGTTCATATCCTGTCTTGAAGACTTACTAGCTGTATAACCATGGGCAAGCCATTTAAACTCTCTAATCTTCAGTTCCCTCATCTGTAAAATGGGGATAATGTCTTCAGTACTCATCTCAAAGGGTGTGAGGCTCAAAAGAGCCTTTTTTGAAAATCTGCAAGCTCCATATAAACATCAGTTGTAATCAAAATGGTTCTTCACTGCTTAATTACTTAAATTTTGGGCCTTCCTATTTAGGATTTTAGTACTAGAATTGACTTTGGAGATCACCTAGTCTAATGACTTCTTTTGATAGAGGAGGCCAAATGACTTGTTCCAGGTTTTATAGTACTTATGTAAGTCTTAGAGGAAAGATCTGAATCTACATATTTTAACTTCACATCCAATACTCTTTCCACTACATCATGCTGTTCCCTCAAGTTGGCAATCAAAGGATCTATTCAATCTTGCTGACTTCACATATGTGCTAGGATTCCACCACACTGAACTATTTATCCTCTCCCAAGCACCCGTTGCTTTCTATTTCTATTTTTCCTCACATTGTTGCCTAGGTATGGGATGTATAACCCTCTTCCTATTTCCACTACTGAAATTTAAACCATCTTTCAAAGACTTGGTTCAAATTTCACCTCCAGGAAATCTTTCCTAATTCCTTCATTTCTGAGCTGATTTCATGCCACCTATGAACTCTCACAGTTTTTTGGTCGTACTTCTCTTGTAGCATTTACCACGTTCTATTTTGAATTAATTTGGTGTACGTCTTAACTTCCCTACTAGATTGAAAGCTCCATGAAGGCAAGACTCATATCTAATCTATCTATACATCACCTGAAATAACTAGCACAATACCTGACACACAGTCAGTTCTTAATAAATCTTCACTGAATGAATGAAAGATGGATGAACAAGAACAAGAATTGGGGATGGGGGGAGGTCATCTTCTCCCTTTCATTCACAGAGAGAGTGTTTCATGGAAAAGGTAGTAGTACTAAGAGTGAACCACAAAGAATGTGGAAGGAGGACGTATGGGTATATAGCTTGGTTCCTTTCCTATGATGAATGGGGATGACAGGTGAAGGGAGAATAAAGCTTTCCTGGGGAAATTCCACATCAAGACAATAGTTCCATGTGACTAAGAAGTAACATAGTATTAAGGAGAGACCAAAAAACCAACTAGCCGATTGTATCCACATTAGCCATGATTCCAATTGTACAAACATTTCAACATTTTATTACATGATTGAAGGGATTGGGGAGGGAAGGGTGTGGTGCTCACCTGGTCAAAAAAAACTCACCTTACACACAGTTGTAGGCCAGTGCTGAACCATAAACAGCTTAGTCCACTCATGGTTGCCACTATGGGAAGATAAGGAATTTATTTCTCAATAATTTTTTTTTAAAAAGCTGCCACGAGGCCAAATGATGGCTTTCATCCAAAAACCAAAACAAACCAAAAAAAAAAAAAACAAAAAACCTTATTTGTCATCAGTGACTAAGGCAAGCTGGGAAGGAAATATGAAAAACACATTAAAAAATAGCTTATATTTATACAACACCTTTTGCTTGAATCCTTTTCAGTGCTTAATAAACATTTTATTCATGCTCAAGGTTTCCCTGAAGGATACCTCTAACCCTGTTTTACAGATATGGAGACTATAGCAGAACACACAGTAACAGTCAGTATCCCAGGGAAAAATCATGATATTCTAGCTTTTTTTTTTTAAGCTAAAGTATAGAGTATCCCATCAGAACTAGGATTAAAACTCAAATTGAGATAGTTCAGGGTAAATTGCAAAATGTGAGCCCTCTACACAGTTTTCATTAAAACGTTGGGCTTCATCCTCATTTCAAGTTTCTCCATAAATAGCCTGTTTAAGTAATTAGACTATGAGTAAGTGTAGGATTCACAATTAAAGTATTATATGAGAAATTTAATTATAGGTTGGAACTGATGGTGATATCCAACCATGTACAAAAATAAACTAGTTGAGTTGAGAAGTTTAAAATAAATAGAAGGGAAATGCTGCTGCCCTGGTCTTATACAGTCAAGAAGGCTGAGTTCAAATTTGTTTCTCACACATATTAGTTTGAAATCCTAGATATATTACTTCATATCTCTAAGGTGGGAAACTGGGTGGTACAGTGGATTGTGAGCTGTGCCTGGAATCAGGAAGACCTGAGTTCAAATCCAGCCTAGCTGTGTGCCCCTAGGCAAATCACCTAAACCTCTGTTTGCCTCAGTTTCCTCATTTGTAAAATGGGGATAATAATAGTACCTACCTCCCAGTGCAGTTGTGAGGATCAAAGGAGATAATAATTATAAAGTGCTTAGCATAGCCCAGCACATAGTAAATGATGTATAAATGTTAGTCATTATTATCATTATGAAAACAAGTACAATAATGCCTGTACTACTTATCTCACAGTGTTGTTAGAAGGAAAGCATTTTGTATATACTAAATGAGGGGGGAGGAAATAATCATTTATATAGCCCTTACTATATGCCAAGCATTGTGGTAAGCACTTTAAAAGTATTATTTCATTTGATCCTCACAACAACCTGAGAGGTAGGTGCTATTATACCTCCATTTTACAGTAGAGGAAAATGAGGTAGACAGAGGTTAAGTGTCTTGCCTAGGGTCATCCAGCTGGTAAGTTTCTGGGACTGGATTTGAGCTCAGGTCTTCTGTGATACCAGCTGCTGTAAATATACAAAGCTTTAATAGCTTAAAACTGCACTGAGAATTTAGGGCTATCCTCTGCATGTGTATGTGTGTATATACATGTATATATACCCTCTGTATATATGAACACCTGTGTGTTATATCTACACACATGATATATATCTACACACGTATATGAGCTGTTATTGCCTTCAAATATTAATCGGAAAGAAGAAAGGAAATTGCTCTGAGAGGAAGCATCTCTCCCCCCTTCCCCCTCTGCCTCCGACTAAAGAAGTAGTACAAGGTCAAGACAATAATGAAGAAGTTAAGTGGTGACATTCAAGAGGAAGTCTAGCTAAGGGGGAGAGAGAAAACAAAACAAAAAAAAAGCACCGTAAATTCTAAAGTACCTGAACTCTAACCATTGACAAGACAATTTGCAAAGTCACCCTGAAGCCACCTGGAACCACATGTTTTAACAACTTGGAAAGAAAAAGGAGATTATATGAATCTTTACAATGTGGAATTATTAGGAAGTGACAACCTACTTGCAGAAAAACTCAAATTCTAAAGTTAAATATCAAGTCATACATAATGAAACAACTACTTTAAATATGAGGCAAATTCTGCCTTCCAATTTCTTTGCAAATATTATTTTAGAATAAAATCATACCCCATAGGTTCCAATCTTTAGTTATTCAAATAAAATTTGGATTTTGAAAGTTAGAATTCTTTTTTGTAACAAGTACATAAATGAATTCACCTAGTGTTTTTTTTTAAATGGGGCTTGGGAGGGGAGAAAATGTGAAGAGGAGAAAACAATTTTCAAGAAGATTAAGAATTTCCAACCAACTAGCTGATGAAACAGCTATTTGTGTAGTCAGCAAAAAAGAATCTAGAAATGACTAAGGCTCCCACCAATAATGCATATCTTCTAAATTTGTGCTTAACCCTTTTTGTCACTTAACTATGGAATGTGTCTGCATAGAATCATAGATTTAAAGCTGGAAAGGACCTTTTAGGTCATCTATTCCAACCCATTACCAAGTCCACCACCACTCCCCCCCCCATTTTTCAGATGATGGCATTGAGGCCCAGAAAGTTAAAAGTGACTTGCCCAAGGTCACAATGGTAGGACATGGAAGAGCAGGATTTGAAACCAGCCCCTCTGACTCCAAATCTGCACTCTTTCCATGCATCAATGCTAGTTACACAATTAAATTATCTTGGAAAGCTGATTTGAAATTTTATTTCCACAAACAACTTACCGATTATAGAATTTGTCAGCAGTACACAAACAATAAAAAGCTAAACAAAGGTAACCCAGAATGAATACGTGAGTTGTTTTTAGCTGCATTGTACTGAAGCCTAAAACAAGAAAAAGACATGTAAGAAGGTTAGTCAAGTTAAAAGTTAAGGGTTTCAAAACCTATGAGAAATGCTTAGAAAAATACAAGGTATAGTACAAACATGAGGCATTGATATTATTTTCGAGTCCCTTCTTAGAACATGCTGGCATAACAACTGGGATGAGTATATCTAGGTAACAGCATAGAAAAAGATAAATGAAAATACTGCTTTTTCAATCTAAAAAATATGGAGAAGCAACTTAATGGGGTCCTATTTCAAATGACCATTTAGCAACTTCCTCCTGACATACCTAGAGTTCTCTTTGAGGCTTACTTCATAGAACCTTAAACACAGAACTGGAAGGTACTTCCGAGGTCTAGTGAAATCCCTTCATTTTAAGGATGAGGAAAGTAAGGTACCAAAAGATGAACAAGTTGGGTGTGATGATACAGGGCTGGACTCCCAAAAGCCAGGGAGGCTGAGGCAGGCATATCCCTTAAATCGGGAGTACCAGGTTGCAATGGGCTAAACCCATCACACACCCTTGGACATTAATACAAAAGGACTCTGGGAGGGGAAGGAGAGATTGCCAGAGGAGGGATAAAGTGGCCCAGGTAAGAAATGGAACAGATCAAGGTTCCCAATCATATCAGCAGTGGAATCTGCCAGTGAGCAGCCCTTGTACTTCCAGCCAGAGGGAGATAGGGAGGCCCAGTTTTCTAATAAATAAATGAATGAATGAAGAGACTGCATAAGGCAGAAGTAGCAGAGCTGGGATATGAATCTGGGCATTCAGAGCTGGGGTATGAACTCTTACTCCAAAGGCAGAGCTTTTTCCAATCAATTATTCCAAAAATGCAGTTAAAAGTTATAGTTAACTTCTACATAGAAGCATCACAATTAGCCTTTTCCATTAGAAGCACAGACTATACCTCTGGAAAGGATATCAGAAATCACACATTTCATTTTAGTGATGAGAATACTGAAGGCTAAAGAGATTAAATTAACTTGTCCAGGGTTACATAGCTAGCAAGTAGTAGGTCAAGGATTTAATCTCATTTCTTCTGACTAAGATCCATTGCTCTTTCTAGGTAAGGCCACTAAACTTATCAGAGTGGGCACTTTCTGCTTTTTTTCCTGAAATAGTGAAATACACCTTTTATTTTTGACTGAGTGCTAAAGGCAGCCTGGGAATGTGTATACCTTAAAACCAGCAAGACCGGGATTGAAGTCCTACCTACCCACCCCAACATAAATTGTGTGACAGTTCCCTTAAACTCTCAGCGCCTCTAACACTATAAATTACAGATTTATAGATTTGCCAATCTTCATTGCTGTGGAGAGTTTCCAAACCTGGAGTTACCCCAGGAATTTGAGGAAATTACTGGTCCGTGCTCCCTCCCCCTTACTCCACTCCTTGAAAGCAACACCGAACTTGCCATTAAGAACCCTGAACTCCCAAACTATACATGACTTAGAAATCCCGTCCCCCCCCAAAATCACCGTTGTTTTAATCTTCTTGACAAGCAAATACAAGTGATACTTTTTTTAAAAAAGTAAGATTACAGCTCAAACTCATTTTCCCCCAACTCCACCCCACCCATGCCCTTCACAAGCACAGCAGGTCTCAGAGCAGCTGTTTTGAACATTTTCCTACATTCCCCCGACTTTAGCCTTTTGGAGAAGAGGAGGTGAGGTCCTGCAGGAACCAGCGCTCGACTCTGTCTCTTTCCCAGGTTTTCAGGGGGCTGGAACATGGGATCCCACGCCAGCCACCATGGGAAGATTCATATGCCCGGCTTGGAGTCTTGCGTCCACCTGGACCGCAGACCTCCAGCAGCTCCGAAGCATCCACAGTACCAGGGACAAGCCAGAGCTCCGGACTCCACCCCACGCCCTGCATACCTGGCTTAGGGGGAACGCGCACTGAAACCTGCAGCAGCAGCGCCCGACCCCAGCTGCCCAGATTTCCGTCAACAGTCCAGACTGTCCGGACTCCAGCCCCGCCCCTGGAGCCATTTCAGACACGTGATTCTGACGAGCCATGACCACTGGGGTTTCGGCTCCTCCTTCTTCCTCTGTTTTATTTTGCCCCGGGGCAAAAAAAAAAAATCCTCCTTCATTTGCTTTACTTCTAGTTTGCTGAATACACCTCTTTCTTCCCCACCTACTTCCCCAAAACTCTGGTTGCCTTTGGGTGGTTAAGATACAACCTTTGGTTAAGGAACAACGCCTTCGGCAGCTGACACAAAGTTTTCCAGAAGTTGCAAAATCTTGTCTTAATTACGTAGTGCTGCTTAATAATGGCTCGTGGTGCTGCTTAATAATGGCTCGTTGTGCCTCAGGGTTTGACTTGTTGATTCGGATCTTAATCCACAGAGCTTCAAATCCTGTATCTTTCTTGTGGGTTCTAGGGAGTGGGTGTGGGAAAGGCTGAGTGGTGATCCTTCTGACACCTCACCTGGGAAATGTGTGTGTGTGTGTGTGTGTGTGTGTGTGTGTGTGTGTGTATGTCTGTGTGTGTGTATCAGTTTTAGATGCTTCCACTTTTTCTTGCCTGTTGATATCATTTGTACTTTTGTTAATGGAATTTCATTCTTGAGTCTCCTATCCCTCTTGAACCACGTTTTAGTAAAATTATGATAGCCTACATTATAGTGCAGTTTATGCGTGCAAAATCTCTAATTTGTTAGTTGGGACCTCGTCATTCAACGGAAACTACTCTGTCCAAAGTTACTAAGATCTCTTAATTTTCAGTTCTCATAGACTTCTTAATTCTTGATTTCTCTGCAGCTTTTGATACTGTCGATTACCCTCTTCTTCTGAAGACTCTTCCCTCAAGGTTTTCACTACATAACTTTCCACTGATTCTCTTTTTACCTATTTTCAGGCTCCTTTGCTGAAACTTTATCCAAGTCATGCTGGCTAACCCTGGGTGTTCCCATAGGGTTCTGTACTGGACCCTTTCCTTTTCTTTCTATACTATTTCACTTGGTGATCTCATCAACTCCCATGGATTCATTAGCATCTTCGTCCTGATGATGCTCAGATCTACTTATCCAGCCCTAACCTCTCTGTTGACCTCCAGCTTGACAGCTCCAACTGTCCATTGAACATCTAAAATTGGATGCCCATTGTTCAGTTCAGTCCATTGTTCAGTTCAGTCATTTTTCAGTCCTGTCCGACTCTTCATGGCCCCATTTGGGGTTTTCTTGGCACAGCTGCTGGAGTGGTTTGCCATTTCCTTCTCCAGCCCATTTGACAGATGAAGAAACTGAGGCAAACAGGGTTAAGTGACTTGCCCAGGGTCATAGAGCTAATAAGTGTCTGAAGGTGGATTTGAACTCAGGAAGAGGAGTCTTCCTGACTTCAGGCCCAGTGCCCTATCCACTTCACCACCTAGCTGCCAGGATGTTCTGTAGACATGTTCAAAATGAAGCTCATTATCATTCCTCCCAAGCCCTCCCCTCTTCCAAATTTTCATGTTACTATCTCAGGCATCACCATCTTCCCAGTCACCCAGGCTCACAACCTCCTTACTCTCTCTCACACCCCATATGCTGCCAAGGTCTGTCAGTTTTACCTTCACACTGTCTCTCAAACATTCCCTCTTCTCCTCTATGGCACTGCCACCATTCTGGTGGCACTTCATGCCTAGGCTACTGCAATAGCCTGCTGATTAGTCTCCCTGACAAGTCTCTCCCCACTCTAGTCCATCCTCTACTGAGCTGTCAAAGTGATCTTCCTAAAGCACAGGTATTACCAAGTTACCACCATCCAACTCCAGTGACTCCCTGTCACCTTCAGGATCAAATATAAAATCCTCTACTTGGCATTCAAAGCCCTTCATAACCCCCCAGCTTTGTAATCTTATACCACCCCACCCTCCAGCCTCATGAACTCTGCAGTCTCATTGCACTGGTCTTGCTCTTCATCCAACAAAAATTTCTGTCTTCCAGATCTAGGCATTTCACTGACTGTCCCTCATGCCTGGAATGATTTCCCTCCTCATTCCTGCCTCCTGGTTTCCCTGGCTTCTTTCAAGTCTCAGCTAAAACTCCACCTTCTACAGGAAGCCTTTCCAGAAGTCCCTTAATTATTGTGCCTTCCCTTTGCTGATTATCTCCAATTTATCCTTGTTTGTACATAGTTGTTTGCATGTTGTCTCTTCCATTAGATCTTGTGTTCCTTAGGGGTAGCTAGGTGGCGCAGTGGATAGAGCACCAGCCCTGAAGTCAGGAGAGGACCTGAGTTCAAATGTGACCTCAGACCAAACACTTGACACTTACTAGCTGTGTGACCCTGGGCAAGTCACTTAATCCCAATTGCCTAAAAAGAAAAAAAAGAAAAAAAGAACTTGTGTTCCTTGAGAGGAGGAGCTTTTAATTTTCGTTGTTTCCCCAAAGCTTAGAATGGTGCCTGGAACATAACAGGTGCTTAATAAATGTTTCTTGACTGACTGACTGACACAACTTTCCATGATTATTGTCCATTAATTTACTTGGTTAACATAGTACCTTTGAAAATTCCTGGGGCAGTTTGGTGGCGCAGTGGATAGAGCACCAGACCTGGAGTCAGGAGGACCTGAGTTCAAATTCGGCCTCGGGCACATAATACTTAAGTGACTCTGCGCAAGTCACTTAACCCCAACTGCCTCACTTAAAAAAAAAAAGAAAAAGAAAATTCCTACTTAAAGTTATAAATGGGAAAATAGAAAGGAAGCACCTGACCCATAAAGGACAAGAATATATGAATCACCTCATCTAAACTGGGAGCTAGGTGTATTTGTAGGTGGTGAGAAAGGAGATTGAAGAGGAGAAAGAGAGATGAAATGGTTGAGGAGCAAGCTTGAGATGGGAGAAGGGATCTGGAGCACAGGTGAAGAGGCTGGCCTTCCCTAGAAGGTGTACCTCTTCCTTGTTGTTTGTCCTTCATTCTCAAAAGATTATAAGAAAGGAGGAGAGAATGGGGGGAGATGAATCAGGGTTTTGAGGTGTGAAATACAGGAATAAAAGCAGGTTACCATGACCTCTATGTTTTTCAGTAAAGTAGGAGGAAAGTTTTGGTGAGATAGATGCATTTTTAAAAAAGGTGTTATAGGAAGTCTGAGAACAGAGGAGAAAGTTTGGGAAAAGCTCTTGGGGAGAGTGTGATGAAAGAGTTGACCAGGGAAGAATAAAACACTTACCATGCAGCAGTAAGGGTCCAAATGAAGATTAAATAATATAAATTTGTAGTAAATCCAGTTGGCATAGTTGCATGACTTTCTTCAGTATTCAGCTATGCTTGTGTTCCAAAATACAGAAGGGAATAATGAAAATAACCCTTAGGTTAGGTTGTAGGATGGCATAACTGGCAATAAGACAAGGGGGAATGGGATTTAAGGATGGCTGATAGTGTGGAGTTGACTGGTTTATCATATGATCAGGACTATGAAGGAAAGTGAAGGCAGAGCAGACACTGGACTAGATGGGCTCCAAGGTCACAGGTGGAGATATAGAGCTATGACCCTGTGATCCTTCAACCCACATACCCAATTAGTGTTCAAGTCTTTTCAATCATTTTTTTTTCTCATGTTCTCTTTTTTCCACTCACAGCCACCATCCTGGTTCAGGTTCTCCTAACTTCTTACCTGGACTATTATAATAACCCCCTAATTGGTCTCCCTACCACAAGTGTCTCCCCTCTCAATCTGTCCTTCATTCAGCTGCTAAAGTGATTTTCCTAAAGTCACCCCCCTACTGAATAAACTCCACTGGCTCCCTATTACTTCCAATATCAAATACAACAGTCTATGTCTTAGAGGTAGCTGTTGGCACATAGAGTTCTGGGCCTGGAGTCAGGAAGATCCAAGTTATAAATCTAGCTTCTAATATGATTTGTGTGACCCTGGGCAAGTCACTTAGCCTCTTTTTTGCCTTGGTTTCCTCAACTATAAAATGGGGGTAATAATAGCACCTACTAGGCAGGGTTGTTGTGAGGATCAAATATTTGTAAAAAAGCACTTAGCACAGTGCCTGGCACATAGTAGGCCTTATATAAATGCTTATTCTCTTCCCATATAAAGCTTTATATAATCTGGTCCCTTCCTACTTTTCCAGTCTTTTTTTATACTTCAGTCCTCTCCAGGTAGTCTAAGATCCAGCTCCATTGGCCTTTTTTGCTTCTCCTTTCATAGGACATCCAGTCTCCCATCTCTGTGCCTTCTCATTGGCACTCTTCCCCAAAGCTTGCTATATGGGACACAGGATAGAGTTTGGTGGGAATGGACTGTCCCTGTCAGAGAAGTTTAGGAGCTGGTGGCATTCTGGGATCAAGGTGGACAGAGGATTCTAACTCATGGCTATCCCCCTTTCCCAGAATGCTCTCCCTCTTTACCTCCACCTGCTTGTTTCCCTGGCTTCCTTCAAGGCTCAGCTCAAATTCCCCCTTCTCTGCAGTAGGCCTTTCCCTCTCTCCCCACTGCTAGTGTCCTCCCCGTGAGATGCCCATCCTCTTACACTGTATGTATCTTGGTTATATGTAGTTATTAGCATGTCTCTCCCATTAGACTCAGAGCCAGGACCATCTTTGGCCTTTCTTTGTATTCCCAGCACTTAGCACAGTGCCTGGCATTTAGTAAATACTTAATAAATGTTGATTGATTGAATAATCCCAGGCAGAGCAAGAAAGAGCATTAGACCAGGAGTGGGTTCTGGTTCTGAGTCTGTCACTACTCACCTGTTCAACTTTAGGCAAGGCCCCGAGGTTCATTTTCTTTAGTTCAAGAATAAAGTCCTTATGAAGTAGCTAATTTCCAAGATCCCTCCCAGTCAGTCAATAAATATTTATTAAGCACTGGGTGGAAGAGAGCATGGAGGTAGTGTAAGAAGACTGGAAAGTTTGTGTGGGAGGAGGTGATGAAGGACTTTGAATGTCAAATAGAGGATTTTATATTTGATCCTGGAGGTGATAAGGATTTACTAGAGTTTATTTAGGAGGGAGGTGACCTGAACAGATCTGGCTTTAGGAAGATT